AATTGAGCCACAATGGGATTGGCAGGTGCTCACTGGCCCTCCATTTTGCACAACAACAATGATTTTATATGTACTGTAACTGTGAATACATAATAAATAGTAAAAATTGAAGGACAACAAGGGATTTTGGGATTTTTGTGGGGAAAAGAGAAAAGAGAACACCAAGCAAGTAGAAAAATGTGAAAAATGCAAAATGCAAAATGCAAAAATGTGAAAATGCAAAATTGCGAAAATATAAAGATGGGAAAAAATTGGCAATGGGTAAACAGGGGAATGGGAAGATGGAGAATGGAGAAATGGGGTGAATAGGGAGATGGGAGGATGGGAGGACAGGAGGAGGACAAGAGGACACAATGGGAGGATGAGAAGACAATGGGAGGATGGGAGATGGGAGGACAGGACAATGGGACATAGGACAATGGGACACAGGACAACAGGACACGGGGCATGGGACATGGGACAATGGGACACAGGACAACAGGACACGGGGCATGGGACATGGGACAATGGGACACAGGACAACAGGACATGGGACAAGATAATTGGGAGGAAGTGTATGAGTCAATAGCATGACACAAACAGTTTGACTGAAGGTTACCTGGGACACTGGCTTGCAATCCCATGGCCTTGTGCCTCGGCCAGCAGGATGCAAGCCAGTGTCCCAGGTAACCTTCAGTCAAACTGTTTGTGCAACATCCCATAACTAAAACAAAACTATATAATGTAAGATGTAAGAATTTATTTATTTCTCACAAGTAAATAATATGCAGACACAGTGAGTCAAAGCACTGAAGGTGCCTCCAGCAGAGCACAAAGTGCTCTGCTTGCTTCCTGTGCCGAAGGCACAACGGGCTTGGACTCGTCATAAAAGAATGGGAGACCGGTTTTGTGGCTGTGTGTGGGAGACGCGTAGCTCGCTAAAGGCCACATGGTTTGCGCTTAGCTCGCTTAACCTCGATTTAGAAATTTCGCGTGGTTCTGTCAATCGGAGTTTCAATTTCAAAAAACTGTTCTCCCTTACTATACGACCTCACTGTCCAAAATTGGTTATAGGTAAAAATTGAGCCACAACAAGGGGAGGAACACCAAGCAAATAGAAAAATGTGAAAAATGCGAAAAATGCGAAAATATAAAGATAGGAAAAATGGGCAATGGGTAAACATGGGAATGGGAAGGTGGAGAATGGAGAAATGGGAGGAGGAGGACAGGAGGATGGGAGAATGGGAGAACAGGAGAACGGGAGAACGGGAGATAGGAAAGCAGAAAATAGGACAGAGACACGGGAGAATTTTTTGGGAAGGGCAAGACTGAAGTTTACCTGGGACACTGGCTTGCATCCCGTGGCCTCGTACCTCGGCCAGCGGGATGCAAGCCAGTGTCCCAGGTAAACTTCAGTCTTGCCCTTCCCAAAAAATTCTCCCGTGTCCTCTGTCCTCAGAACTAAAATAAAAGTATATAGTATTTTGTAAATGTAATATGTAGACATGTGCCGAAGGCACAACGGGTGTGGGCTAGTACTATCAAGCCGACCGGTCATGGGGTCCATGCATCAGGTGATGTGTCTGTGAACTACTTATTGTTCGGATCAGGTCTAGGTCCAACTTTTACTAGTGCCTCCGAAGTCCGGTTCGGTCAGGTTCATGGCCCTATATCTGCGAACCCTGAACTCGACCATCGGTCAGGTTCAGGCATGGTGGCCGAACCTTGGACCGGACGGCTTCTGGGCTCACCTCACCTGTTCTTGGGACTTGCAGGCATGCTTTGCTTCCTGGATTCCCTACCCCACCATGATGGCGGCCAATTACTATTTTACTTTGCGGACGCCAATACATGTGCGCCTTTCGCTGATACGGCCAAAAAAAGAAAGAGCGCAAACTCTTCCAAGCTTTGTCTCATTGTCTCAGTTTTGCTTGGGCACTATTCTTCACTCATTCGAAAGTTCAGGTTAACAAGGTAATTGTATTGTTTTCTCTTAGAGACCACACGCGCCACCTCACCTACTCTAAATCAGAGTAGTTAAATTTAAAAAGGGTCAGGGCTTGAGCTTGATCACTGGTAAATATGTATGTTTCTGCAATAATAAGTTAACGAACTGACTCAATAAAGTCGGCTGTGGTTCTGCGTGATGTTACTAATTTTACATGGGAGCTTTTCCCTGATGCCGAGTGGGACTATTGTACAGAAGTCTAGCACGCTGAGCTGGACAACTGACGCTACTGGATATGTCGCTATTTTGGGGTTATCAGTCAAGAAGGATAGTATACCATTCTCAGGCTGCTTGTATATAGTGTGTAAGGGCTGCACATGATATTGTTGCGAGTTTCTTCGTTCTGTCACGGTTGTCCCGCCACGGATAGTCGAGGTGTAATCTTGATTGTTTTTACTGGTCGCGATGCGGATAAATACCATGTAGAAGGCAATGGGGATGATCTGGACGACCTAGTTGATTGAAGCTCAGTAATTTTCGATAACAGGTATTAACGGCGGAATTACCAGGTCTGCCATAACATACAATCCATTGCTCGAACAGAGGAAAGAGATTAGTGAACAGCAGGTCGCCACAGAGTACAAAATAGTGGCATCTACCAGCACACGCAATATAGGTCTTTTTCGCTTCGTCATAAGAACCATAGAGACATTGCGTTCGGTTATCCAGATGCGATATGCCAGTAACCCTGTACATATTCAAATTGGCCTCAAATTGGGCTTACGCAGAAGTGTGCTTACCTGAACTCAACAAATTAGTTGCCATTGTAAGGACAATGAACGTCGTAATCCAAGTTCCAGTCGCAGTGTCAGTCTGCTGTTGCGATATGCTGTAGACCATACAGATACCAAATGCTTCGAGACAACATCAGAGCACACAACTTCCTGAGAAAGACTGGACCTAACCTGCGACACCCCACCACATTATGCATGGGACAACAATAACCCAGACAGATCGCCAAACTACGTAACATCGATAAATCTTTTGGCAAAAAGGATATTTCTATAAGCCACGAGGGTTTCAAGCCGGCAGATAAAAACAAATTGAACCCACCACCACCCCGTCACCAAGCAGAGTTTGCAACGTGAGTATCGCATCCTTGACCGTAAACGTCCCTTCGGTAGAGTTTGCGAAGAATGCCATTGGGCCGCCCGGATACGTGTCGCGATACTTCACCAGTCCGTCATCAATACGAATGATGCCTACGACCAAGTGCTTGGGAGACTTTAGCAGATGTGACATCGTATGTAAGCGGCCCCGAGAAGCTAACCACAGTACTCAGTAGGAACATCAAGGTAGCGACCGCAGCGATAGGTCGATTGACGTCCTTGATGCGACGTTTGTAGGTGAATGTCCATATGGTACCCATAAACATGAGGACTGAAAAGCCTGTAAAACGGTAGCTTGGTGACCATGGGATGGACCAATCGATAGTGATACCCACCGTATAAAATGCCTTCCAGAACTGTTGACATTAAATTAGCTTCATCTACTGGGATGCCAACGTTTGAGTTGAAAGTCATAGAAGACATGATTAGGCCTGAGGGGCGCACGACGGTGCCTGAGTGACTTCTCCAGCCGCATCGTTATATACTGAAGATAGCTCGAATTTAGATATGTCACCAGCCGCGGTCCATCAAACCTAGTGTCCCGTAGTCAGACCCAATAGGGTGAATATAGTCGTTCCTAGTAGGTCCTCAGGAGTTGCCCGGCAGCAATTTAGCTCGAAATGAGTCCTGTTGGGACCCCGGATCAGGGAAACTCCATGCACGCGCGTTACCCTACATTCAAAGTGACATGATGCATGATAATCTCGCCGAGAGAAGGCTTGAGAAGACTCGGGCTGTGAGCGAGAAAGCTGCCTTTCCTTTTTTGGACGCACAACTGCATTTCAATGATGCGGGGGCTAGCCAACTCGTAGACTCTTATCTATTCTGAATTGCATATTGCGTTCATTGACAGTTCATATTTCAGGTAGTGTGATTGGCGGGGCGCAACACAAGGCAGTTCCTGATTTCGAACTTAGGGGGTCCCAGCACATACTTATAAGGAGACTTGACGACCGAACAGGAAGCCCAACTTTTTGTCCTTCGCATTGTGAAGATAAAACCTGGTCGTGTTCTCGATGAGGCTCGGCAGCGTCTCATCCAAGGTCTCTCAATAAGACGGTCGTGGCATTTTGTTGACAGAAATGAACAATATAACTGGAAATTGTTCTTAAACTCCAGTCTCGAATCGTAGAGTAGTTGCGTGTTCTTTGAAGCTGGTCGAGCCGCAGTAACCTGTGAAAGAACATCAGGATAAGATAACGAAATGCGATACAAGAAACAAGGCTTACGATGTACATCATGATATTGCACTGGATGGGTTGAAAATTGACGTGTTCAAGATCTTTGGGGTTTTGCCGTTGCCTACTCAGGGATAATGAAAGACCTTGGTAGATTTACTGAGCAATCTCTGCAGTACAGGCGTACCGCCATCCATACGGAAATTAATCCGCACAAATACCGCACTTGTCCTACATGTGCGTCCATCAAACTCTACCTCCATCATTCGTCAAGATCTATCATTAGTCTTATAATTAGACATATCAACTCTGCGTTGGGTCAAAAACTAGAGACTAACCTGGAGTTGCGATTACTACATCCAGCTCCCAGATCAGCATGTCCGCATCATAAACACGGATGAATTGCAACGATCAGTTATCAGCGTCCAAGGCTCAATACATAAATAACACCCCTGCGTCTCATATATGCTCGGCGCCAACAACACAAAGCAAAGAATAGTCCATAACTGTCGTAGCACAGCCGAGCAGCGCAGCTAGAGCGAACAAGGCTGCGCTGATCAGGCACTACGAATAATCTGCATTCACGAAGTTTAAAAATGTCGTAGCGACCGATACAATGAACACTGCAAAACTGAGCCATTTCTAGTACGATAAAAATGAGCGAACAAACTCGACCAGCGAATGAAAGTCTTACCAAGAACGTGCGCTCGATTGCGACACACACCTTGGGCTCGATACAAACAGGAACTGCAATCTGTGGCGTCAGCTCATCGCACACTTCCTCAGGAGCGCTGCTACCTCTGCTGAACTGAGACGCAGGCACATCGCGTTCCTTGACAAACTTTTCTACACAATTCGGCAGTGGGATGACGCAGCCGTGGGTGAATTTATTAATTGAGTTCGTAATTGGCAAGGACCCCTTGTCTATGAGAATCATACTTTGACTTGGGAACGGCTTCGACGAGGTGGAACTGGACAAGGTCCGTCACCCACTTGGGAGGTTCTTGTCCGAACCAAACTACCACCTCAGAACGAATGCCGATGCTATTCATGGATTATCTTGAAGCTCGGCAGCGACGTAGATGGCGAAGACGGATGCTCGCCTTGCAGAACTGGATGGTAATGTAGTAGTTGGTGGTAAGATGGGATTGATTCTGTACATAGTAGAGTGCGATGGGTTCAAGTTGTTGTTACGGTGAGATTGATTGATGCTACGGTTAGTGTACGTACGGGAGATACCTCTCCTGCGTCACTGTGCACGAGAACTTAAGTTCACGAAGTTCATTCGGAACGTCCCGGAATGAAAAGAAGGTGTACTAAGTACCCTGAACTGCTACCACCATAAGTACTTATTTTCATATCGATAGACCAGATTTCAGATGGAATTTTCGCCTTGAGCGCCTTCATGTGCGCTCTCGGACGAGTCAACCTGGCCTATCGTGATTCTTGAATTCGCTTATGAAGAGACCTCGCCCGAAGGCATCCGAAGAACACCCTGCCCGTACTTGGCGTATTCCATCAGTATCCTACTTTCCAGATGGCCGGCGAATGATCAGAGGCCGTCGACGATGGGACCTGCAGGTGGATGAGGAGATGTGCGGAATGTGGCAGGGCTCGAAGAAGTTCCTAGTCTCCCTTAGACGAACCATAGACATTGACAATCTGATTTTGAAAAACCAACACCAGATACTCGACGGGTACGTACCTCTGGAAGGTGCGGCCGAAGGACCGGTTCATTGATCAGTACTCTCTCAAATTCACATTCATCCTTTGCGCAACCTCTTCTTCATTCCACACCTTGCATCGCATGCACGAGCGTCCTCCGCGCATCGTCTCCTGGACAAAACAGTGCTGTAACGCTCGCGTCCGGGAGAGAATGAGCTGGCGGCGCCGGTAATAACAGCGCCGACAATGACAACGCTTCGCAAGCGAACCCGTGTGTTTCGGTGAAGGGGAAGCGCAAACACAAATCTCAAACAGACTGCACACGAATATTTCTAGTTGTTGCGCGCTTAGACCACCACGGACTTGCGTCGTATAGCACCTACCCATCCCATCCCAAAGGACAAACGATATCATAGCACGTCTGACTGGGAAATAACCGTTCAGTCAAAATCAGTCCTATCTACTACGCCGATCGCCAAGATCAAGCACGGAATCTGACGACACTCCTGATCCTCCTTCTGTGCCATCGATTGTGACCGAGACACTTGTGCAGAGTCAATGGAAGGTGAAAAGGAAGAATCAACTCAAGCCGTATCCTTCTCACTTTATCCCCATCTCATCCTCTGGACACATTGTCAGAAGAAGCCTCTTCAGTCGATGATAAACCAGCACCAGAACCCGTGGCACCCCCCGAAAAACAAAGGCGCGGTGAAGGAACAGATAGCAGAGATAGCAGCTCCGCACGCGGAGACGGCGACAATGTTGAGTATGATGAAGACTCTGCCCTTAATCTGCGCGAGAAGGCGAGGTTGGATAGTGACAAGGGGATTAAAGCTGGTTTATATTACGCTGTTGGCTATTGGCCTTGGAGGTCGGTGAAATTTTTCGTCTTTGGCGCGGGGTTTTGAGCTGATGCTACCTTCACTTACGTTTAACTTTGCATTCTCTACGACAGAATATTTTAAGAATAATCAAACTCTCGTTGTCCTCCCATCATCATGGTGAGGTTCCTTCAAACTCGCTGGAAAGCTGATTCAGACACAGTCGCGTACATTGCCCTCCAGGCATTACGATGTACCTCTCTGAAATCGTCGAATGGGGCACACTAATGTGTTGGTGGACGAAAATCACCGCATGCCCACTTATGGCGAGGCTCATGCTTTCGACCATACGCAGCATGTACTGTCTACCATAGGACAAGGCCCCAGCGGACAATAAACAACGATTTAAAAAAGAAAGAAAAATGCTTTCGACCTCCACTTCCCCTGGAATTTCCTATGTATTGTACCCGACGATCGCCTCGACAACGCGTCCAACACCTTCGAGTCGCTCGGCCTCCATCAATATTCTTTCCCAAACCGGACCTGCTTTTATACGACGTGTATTAGACGCCTTGCAAGGCTATCAGTGTATGCACCTACATCATGTCTAACTATTCGTATTATTGTCCCGTTTGCACAGTTCTCAATAGCAATCTGCGTCGGTCAAACGGGAAGACGAAGACTGACAGATTTTTGCTACCTGTCAACCCGTCAAGCAATGGCGCTTGGATGTAATGAGGAGTTGAATGGTGACGCGATGGCGACTATTTTACAAGGTGTAATCCTGATTGCTAATAACTCTGTACATGAAGGATAGATGTCACTACACAGAGAAAAGAAGGAACGAAGGCTGTTGAACGACTGTGCTCAAGTAAAGTTGTGGTGATTATACGACCACGAAGCCATCACACATCTCATTCGATTCATCAACACGACAGGAAGACTGAAGACCACATTCGGTGAAGTTTCTATGACTCCAGCACGATCGGACTGGCAGACGCCATCAATTGTTATTCATTCGTAGATTGACACCACATTCAAGATCGCGTCGCATCGTACGCACCACCACACTCGTACATCGCACTCAATCGCACTCTCATATCCTACCCACGCATAATTCGACTTCTACCACCATATGACCTCCTAATCGCACGATCACTGGATCACTTAATCAACCAACCACTTAATCATCTACACTCGCCTATACGGAATAAATGTTCTATGGAAATAGAAAAGGATCCAAGCCCACGTCAACCTCTCCGGCTTATCCTTCTCGTCTTTTTGCCTCTTTTACCCATCTATAAATAAATCTTAAAAAGTAAGGGAGAAGGGAGGGGGGGAATGTGGGAGGATTTGGGCATTTCCGCGTAGCGCACATGGTGTCGGTTGCGTCGGTAAGGTCGCTGAAAAAAGGATCCCATGTGGTTCTGTCAAGCGGAGTTTGAATTTGAAAAAACCGTTGTCCCTTACTATACGAGCTCACTGTCCAAACGTGGGAATTTGTAAAAATTGAGCCACAATGGGATTGGCAAGTGCTCACTGGCCCTTCATTTTGCACAACAACAATGAATTTTATATGTACTGCAACTGTGAATACATAATAAATAGTAAAAATTGAAGGACAACAAGGGATTTTGGGATTTTTGTGGGGAAAAGAGAAAAGAGAACACCAAGCAAGTAGAAAAATGTGAAAAATGCAAAATGCAAAAATGTGAAAATGCAAAATTGCGAAAATATAAAGATGGGAAAATTTGGCAATGGGTAAACAGGGGAATGGGAAGATGGAGAATGGAGAAATGGGGTGAATAGGGAGATGGGAGGATGGGAGGACAAGAGGAGGACAAGAGGACACAATGGGAGGATGAGAAGACAATGGGAGGATGGGAGATGGGAGGACAAGACAATGGGACATGGGACAATGGGACACAGGACAATGGGACATGGGACAACGGGACAACAAGACATGGGACAATGGGACACAGGACAATGGGACATGGGACAACGGGACAACAAGACATGGGACAATGGGACACAGGACATGGGACATGGGACAACAGGACAACAGGACAACAGGACAATGGGACAACAGGACAACAGGACACAGGACACGGGACAACAGGACAATGGGACAACAGGACAACAGGACACAGGACACGGGACAACAGGACAATGGGACAACAGGACAACAGGACACAGGACACGGGACAACAGGACAATGGGACAACAGGACAACAGGACAACAGGACACAGGACACGGGACAACAGGACACAGGACATGGGACATGGGACACGGGACATGGGACATGGGACACGGGACATGGGACACAGGACACAGGACACAGGACACAGGACACAGGACACAGGACACAGGACACGGGACAACAGGACACGGGACAAGATAATTGGGAGGAAGTGTATGAATCAATAGCATGACACAAACAGTTTGACTGAAGGTTACCTGGGACACTGGCTTGCATCCCGCTGGCCGAGGCACGAGGCCACGGGATCGCAAGCCTGTGTCCCAGGTAACCTTCAGTCAAACTGTTTGTGCAACATCCCATAGCTAAAACAAAACTATATAATATTTTTTAAATGTAAGATGTAAGAATTTATTTATTTCACAAAATTAAATAATATGTAGACACAGTGAGGCAAGGCACCTTTGGTGCCTCCAGCAGAGCATGAAATGCTCTGCTTGCTTCCTGTGCCGAAGGCACAACGGGCTTGGACTCGTCTATAAAGTAAGGGAGAATGGTATGGGGGAAACCGTGAGAGACGCGTATTCCGCGTATTCCGCGTATTCCGGCAGTTTCGGTTGCGTCGGTTGTTTGAATCCCTTCTCCCTTGGAGCGCTGAAAAAGGGAATGCCATGTGGTTCTGTCAAGCGGAGTTTGAATTTTGCGCAAACCTTCGTCCGTTAGTATGTAAGGGTTGACTGATTTGGCAGGTGGCTCCAACAACAATGATGTATATGTACTGCAATTGTGTATAAATATAAATGTAGCCACAATAGGATAGAAAAAGAACACCAAGCAAATAGAAAAATATGAAAAATGCGAAAATGCGAAAATGTGAAAGTGTGAAAATGCAAAAATGCAAAAATGCAAAAATGCAAAAATATAAAGGTGGGAAAAATGGGCAATGGGTAAACATGGGAATGGGAAGATAGAGAATGGAGAAATGGGGTGAATAGGGAGATGGGAGGATGGGAGGATGACAGGGGGACGGGAGGACGATGAGAGGATGAGAGGATAAGAGGACAGGACTACAGGAGGACAAGATGATGGGAGGATAATGGGAGGACAATAGGAGGATGGGAGATGGGAGGACATGACAATGGGACACAGGACAATGGGACAATGGGACATGGGACAATGGGACATGGGACACAGGACACGGGACACGGGACACGGGACACGGGACACGGGACACGGGACACGGGACACGGGACACGGGACATGGGACATGGGACATGGGACAATAGGACATGGGACAATGGGACAGTGGGACACGGGACAACGGGACATGGGACAACAGGACAACAGGACAACAGGACAACAGGACAACAGGACAACAGGACAACGGGACAATGGGACAACAGGACAAACAACAGGACAACAGGACAACAGGACAGTGGGACAGTGGGACACAGAACCATGGGACATGGGACATGGGACACGGGACACAGGACATGGGAGATAGGAAATCAGATAATTGGGAGGAAGTGTATGAGTCAATAGCATGACACAAACAGTTTGACTGAAGGTTACCTGGGACACTGGCTTGCATCCTGCTGGCCGAGGCACGAGGCCATGGGATTGCAAGCCAGTGTCCCAGGTAACCTTCAGTCAAACTGTTTGTGCAACATCCCATAACTAAAACAAAACTATATAATGTAAGATGTAAGAATTTATTTATTTCTCACAAGTAAATAATATGCAGACACAGTGAGTCAAAGCACTGAAGGTGCCTCCAGCAGAGCACAAAGTGCTCTGCTTGCTTCCTGTGCCGAAGGCACAACGGGCTTGGACTCGTCATAGTATTATGGGAGACCGGTTTTGTGGCTGTGTGTGGGAGACGCGTAGCTCGCTAAAGGCCACATGGTTTGCGCTTAGCTCGCTTAACCTCGATTTAGAAATTTCGCGTGGTTCTGTCAATCGGAGTTTCAATTTCAAAAAACCGTTCTCCCTTACTGTCCAAAATTGGTTAAGCCACAACAAGGGGAGGAACACCAAGCAAATAGAAAAATGTGAAAACAACAATGATGTATATATGTACTGTAATTCCGTATACATAAAAATGCGAAAATATAAAGATAGGAAAAATGGGCAATGGGTAAACATGGGAATGGGAAGGTGGAGAATGGAGAAATGGGAGGAGGACGGGAGGATGGGAGAATGGGAGAACAGGAGAACGGGAGAACGGGAGAACGGGAGAACGGGAGATAGGAAAGCAGAAAATAGGACAGAGACACGGGAGAATTTTTTGGGAAGGGCAAGAGTCAACAGCAAGACACAAACAGTGAGACTGAAGTTTACCTGGGACACTGGCTTGCATCCCGCTGGCCGAGGTACGAGGCCACGGGATTGCAAGCCAGTGTCCCAGGTAAACTTCAGTCTCACTGTTTGTGTCTTGCTGTTGACTCTTGCCCTTCCCAAAAAATTCTCCCGTGTCCTCTGTCTTCAGAACTAAAATAAAAGTATATAGTATTTTGTAAATGTAATATGTAGACATGTGCCGAAGGCACAACGGGTGTGGGCTAGTTCCAATACTAGTCGCATTGTGCGACCGAGCACGTGTTCCGTTTATCTCCATCCGTTGCTTAAATGCGCGTACCTTAAAAGTCCCCTCCGTCGTCAGATTGCATGTCTAAAACGTGCGGCGGGAACGGCGGACCGGTGGAGTCAACTCTCACATCGGGGCATTCATGAATCTTGAGGTGCGGCGGGACACAGGGTCCCTTAGACGAGAATGTATTGTCTTACATAGAGTACTACTCTCAAAGACAGAAATCTGACCTTGAAAAAAAGAAAAAAGTGATATATACTCTAGACCTATTTCTCTTGCAAATTTACTTCGGAACATCAAAGAGCTTATATGAGCACTACAACAAAAACTAAAACAAATTCTCCAGCTTCCAGCTTCCTGCACAATGCCTAGCAAGTGTTTTTTTTTAATCCAAATTTATTGTCCTTTGGGGTCGTAGACCCTATGTCGGACATAGCCCTATTCAGATGCGGGGGGGCTTGCTCCCGGCTTATCTATCGTATAGTATGTATAATCTGTCGTATGTTGTGCCACGAGTACTACGTCGGCATGTTGTCGGGCAAAGGCCGACGCCGATTTTGTACAGGGGAAATGGGGTGGTATGGGATGCGGGCTTTCCGCGTCCACTGTTCCTACCTGAGCAAGTGTTGATCACATCGAGTGTTTCTCCTCCTACACACTGCTGCTAGTTGATACATGCACGCGCATCTGGAACGCAATTGAAGTCATGGCGGTCCCTGCGTCGGAGTCGGCCACGAGCTTAGCGTTATATTCTCGAATGCTAAGAATCAGGCGTGGTCCCAATACAAACATCTGTATGAGCATGAAAATTTGAAGAACTCCAAGATAAATCTGAGTTCCAATGGAATACGAGTCCTATAGAATTGATGAACCGTGGCCGTATGTAGAGGTTAGTGATAGATTGACATACCGCTGACATTGTTGAAAACGTATAACCGAGGTTGAGGCAAGAACCAGCAACAAAGCTACCACGTACGGAACTTCAGCAAAACGCGAGAACGATGGTGACATTATGAGCTCACCTCGCAAAGTAAACTACGTGAGTTTTCATTAACACCGTGAAACAGTCCCCAATAATCCCTCCTGCCGTTTGTCGTCGCAGTTCACGGAAATGTTTTATAGCAATCCAGACTGCGAAACACAGTGCGAGGACCTCCCATACAGTGGTAAATATCCAAGTCATGGTAACCAGCAATGCATCCTCTCCGGAAAAGTCAACAGTGCACTGATAAGTGCCGGAGAGAATGAGTTCATCTGGTATTCGTCAATGAGCCTGATGCGATAAGTCATTCATCTATAATTAAAACTTACCCCCTGAACTGTGTCTCATTGATAATGCAACGACCACTACGTCAGCGATGTTGACAGCCAGGCAGACGACGACGAGAAGTATCAACACCTGTCTAGATCGGTGATACATGGCATATAACCGAGTGATCATGATGACTGGCATGATTGTTCAGTCAAGTCAACAGCACTGAGGTATTGCAGCCGTTTAGCTCACCACCCAGTATTGCACTTCCGACGACAGTTGTCCACTCTTGTATGACATACATGATAAAGCCTGGCAAATCGAATTAGCGATTAACATCACACTCCAAAAAAAAACTCACAGCTGCGACAGTCATTATATTGAAAGCTGATCAATAATCTTACTCACCTCTACATGGGAGTGCAGTTGGTTGGGTAGGGGTGGTATGTATAAGTACAGGACACTCACTACATCTGTCGCTGAGATTGTCGGAACCCATACTATATACTATTGGTCAGAAGAAAGAACTACAATGTATGTGAGGAGACATGCGCAGAATCTCGATGCTGATTGTGGGAGGCAACCGATTAGCACAACACTGATCGCTTAGCCTTCCGAACATACATAGCATATAATATTCCAAGGTAGCGCACCTAAGATATATTTGAGTCAGCACAACTTGCCTATCACACTTATAACGCGAGTCTACACACACTTAGATACAGAACGGTCATAAGGGACCAGCGTTGCCTCTGTTGCCACTATTATATTTACGTGTTCTTCTTACGATGTGCGACTCTGCTCACCCAGACCAGTTCGACCTGTAAAACTCTTGTCAGACTGCCGCATTCGTTAATGGCATCAGCCTACCTCTTGCCCGAATGTCAATGCTGGAAATACCATGATGATATCAGCGGTTCTTTAATACTTATCTTGCTTACCCCAATCATACATCACCGCAGCAGAGGAGGCAACTGCGAAACCGCAGCCAAGGTTAGATTGACACATCACCGTCATCATTCGACAGGCTCTCCACGAACCTACAAAATAGCCGCCAACACGATTTGCATCGATGCTCGGCCACCAACTGGGATCATTTGAAATTAGTGTCATACTGTTAGAGGATGGGTATACGCAAGCGAAGATGGTAGACGTATGAGGATGGCGGTCGTGCTAAATATACCACCATCGAGCGCTTTGGGGGCAGAAATGCATCAGGAAAACATCGTCTTACTTAATCTTACTTATTTTGATTGGGCGAAGTATATTTTGGGTTCTCACGGTAGAGAAACTGCAGTGCAGCGCAATATTGACACCGTGGAATGATAAAGGATCGAACACCGCAAAGATCGAAAACCTGTTCGCGATTTCGGCAACTTGTGGCCTGCCCAGATCTTCTTGCTCCACACGCATCAGTTATTCCATCAGTGAAAGTATGTAGTTCATTGATTTAACACAGGCCTGTGACCATAGAACAGCCCGCCGTGTGTACGTACCGTCCACATAGGGCACCGTGACTGCCCCAGACGACAATCATAAAGCCTGCCGTTTCAATGATTCTTGATGAGCGTCATCCAGACAAAGCAAACGGAAGCTCACCTGTCCAACCTGGGCTGCCAGCTGCCAGGCCCTTCAAGCATACCTCTCAATCATTGGCTAATCTCGCTGCTCCTGCTGCTGCTCGTCCTCAGCACATATGCACCCTTCTCGCTCTCTCCCTCGGTCATCGGGCTATCATAAGGGTGCTGAAAATCGGTACGTGTAAAATCTGATGCAACCTTACAAAACGTACTGTAGACTCTAGCTGGAGGATGTTGTGCGACTCGCAGTCAAGTTGTTGACCTTGCTTGCAAGACGTCGCAGGGCCCCAGGGCCGTAAACACCTTCTAATTATATTAGTCCCAAGGCTGCAGATGATCATCAACACCTCACCGACTGGGGAGTTGTTATGTAGCTCTTGTTCAAGGACCTGGAAGACTGGATCCGCAGTGATGAGTAGGTCGTGGAATTAAATAAAGGGCAAGCTGTTGCTAGTTGATAAGTTGTCTTGCCCATAGCCACTAGTACTATCATAGACACGGCAACCACAGAGTGGTCGAACAACTGGAGAACCCAAATTCAAACCTAGTCACCTAGTTCGACCTTGCCTGCTCGAGTCGTACTTATCTCAAATTGACCTGGACAAGTAGTTAGAGTGAGTCAACCGAGTCTACATCTCAGGCTAGTGCCAGTGACTCTCTGCTAAATCGACTTTGGAATATCTAAAAGACTTATATACTATCGCCGCGACGAAACCAAAACAAATTCTCCAGCTAGATTCCTGTATAATGCCCACTGACAAGTCCTATTAAATGCTAGTAATCATATGGAATGTTTCTCCTCCTACACATTGTTGCTTGTTGACACATGCACATGCTCCTGGAAAGCCATTGAAGTCATGTGAGTCGCTGCGTCGGACTCGGCCATGAGCTTATCATAGTATTCTCGAACACCAAGGATCAGGCGTGGTCCTAGCACAAACATCTTCACAACCAGGAAAACGTCAAGAAAACCAAGATAAATCTTTGTTTCCATAGAAAATTGGTCCTATAAAAATGATGAACTGTGGTTGCATGCAGGGGTCAGCGACAGATCGGCATACCGCTAAGATCGTTGGAGATATGTAAAGAAGGTTGAAGCAAGACACAGCAAGAACGCTAGCACGTATGGAACGTCAGCAGAACAAGGGAACCATATTCACATTAAGAACTCACCTTGCAAAATAAAACAGATGAGTTTTCATCAACACCGTGAAACAGTTCCAGATAATCCCTCTTGCTGATTGTCGTCGCCGTTCACGGAAGTGTTTTACAGCAATCCAGACTGCGAGACACAGTGCGAGGACGTCCCATACAGTGGGGAGTATCCAACTCACAGTGGTATCCAGAGGTAGGACATTTCCCTTGTAGTCGATGGTGCACTGATATGTGTCAAAGAGAATGAGCTCCTCTGGTATTCGTCAATGAGCCTCACACCCTGAAGTCACTCATAATTAAGCTTACCCGCTGAAATATCCCTCATTGATATTGCGATGATTACTCCATCGGCGATGGTGACAGCCAGCAAAACGACAACGAGCACAATCAGCACCTTTCTGGATCGTTGGTACATGGCATGTAACCGAGCGATCATGACGACTTGCGTGAATTTTCAGTCAAGTCAATAGCACTGAGGTATTGCGTAGCTCACCCCCCAGTATTAGATTTATAACGAGACTCATCCAATCTTGCACGAAGTACATGATAAAGCCTAACAAATCGAGTTAGTGATAGGTCTGGGGAGGATCGCACACTCCAAACAAACTCACAACTGCGACAGTCATTATATTGAAAGCTAATCGAAAATATTACTCACCCCTACATGTGAGTGTGGTTGGTTGAGTGGGAGCGGCAGGCATAAGTATGGAATACTCACTACATCTGTCGTCGGAACCCATACTATATGCTGCCGGTCAGAAAACACAACCACAGTGTATGTGAGGAAACATACTCAGCACCGTGATGCTGATTGCGAGAGGCGACTGATCAGCACAACACCAATAACGTAGCCCTCAAAGCATACATAGTATATAATATTCCAATGTAGCGCACCTTGGATAGGTTCAAGTCAGCACAACTTGCCCATAACACCTATAACACGGGCTACACACAATGAGATACAGAAAAGTCATGAGGGACCAGCGCTGCCTCTGTTGCGAATTAATTGCATTTTTACGTTGTTCTTCTGACATGGGACTCTACTCACCCAGACCAGCTCAACCTATAAAACCATTCTTAGCAATATAGCTCCTCCGGTAATAGGCTAGCATCAACCTACCTCTTGTCCGAATGTGAGTACTGGAAATATCATGAGGACATTAGCCGTTCTTTAACACTATCTTGCTCACCCCAATCATACATCAACCCAGCAGAGGCCGCAACTGTGAAACCGCAGCCAAGGTTAGACCGAGAGATAAACGTCATCAGCCGAACGGCTCTCCACGAACCTATAAAATAGCTGGAAACGCGAGCCGCATTAATGGTTGGCCACCAACTGGGATCATTTGAGACTAGTGTCATGCTGTTAGAGGATGTGAGTGAGCTGTGGGCATGTGAGGTTGGTGGATGCGTGACGATGGCGGTCATGGTAAATATACCACCATCCAGCCCTTTTAGCACAGAAACGAACATAATAGGGTTGAAATGTTGATATACGTTGATACCCAATCCTGCTTTTGATTGGCCGAAGGATTTGTGAGGCAACTTTGCAAAACGCACTGCATATACTCAGTGCATCATCGCGCAGTTGTTGCGAGGGTGATGCATCAATTTCAATCACAGCCTGATACACTCCTAATCAACAATCCATAATTGATTAGTGATGTCTGGCGGGTATACAACGCATCCCTATAGTACGTGAACATGGAAGTGAACATGACAGGGAAGACGACTCGGATTATCGCACATGTAGGGCCTCATGGCCGTTCATGATCAGGAAGCCCAACTTTTTGTGATAGTGATATTCTCGATTCAGCAGCGTCTCATCCAAGGTCTCTTAATAAGACGGTCGCGACATTCTGTTAACAGGAATGAACACTGTTATTAACTCCGGCCTCAAGCCCTACGGTAGTTGCTGCACCTCAAACCCTAGTTACGCGACTCGCAGCCAAGTTACTGACCTGCTTGCGAGACATCGCAAGGCTCTAGAGCCATAAACACCTTCGAATCACGTTGGTCCCAAGGCTGCAGATGAGCACCTCAACAGTTCACCGGCTGGGGAGGTGTTACGTAGATCTTGTTCAAAGACGTGGAAGACTGGATCCGTAGTGACGAGTCTAAAAGGTCGTGGAAATTTGTTGGAGTAAGATCAATGGCGAGCTGTTGACGGCAGTACTAGTTTTTCCACAGCCACTAGGTACGGTGATCGCGGAGTGGTTTCGGACAACATAACTCACTGACGCAAATTGGACCGACTCGCTGGAGAATCCAAATTCAAACCCAGTTACTTAGTCCGACGGCTTGCCGTTGTTCTGACACGGTGGACGTCCTCTGATGACAGTTTCAGAATCCAACCACATGCATGTTAACGTCCAAACCAGTATTACACTTGACTCCTTCATAAACAATCCTATAACTACACGTCCCCTCAAACTCTCAGCGTTCAGCACTTGCACTCTCCGGCCTTGCATTGGCACCTGTGCATAAAGTTGTGAATCAGACCAGAAATCCGACTTCGTTCAAAGGCAGTACGACTCACGATTCGCCGCACGAGCAGCTGGCCGAACCGCAGTTGTTCTGGGAAACAGGGACTTGAGCAACCTGCGAAATGATCAAGGTGACGCAAACGAAAACGCAATGGCAAGGCTTACGGTGTACATGATGATATAGCTGGGTTGATGAATTCAAGGTCTTTGCAAGGAGTTTGAATGTCGTTACCTCCTCGGCGCGAAGGTCTTTATAGTTTTCCTGTGTGATCTTATCGGTAATTTCTCAGAAACCAGATTTTTTTTTTGGTTTCTCTCTTTCCTTCCCAAGAGTAATCTCTGCAGTACCGGCGTACCGCTATCCCTACGATCAAACCGCACAAGTAGCGCAATTGTCCTACATGTGCATTCCATCAAACTCTGCGCATCCATCAAATGCACCATGTGTCCGCGTCAGGTGTCACCAGGTGTCATCATCACTCCTCAGCATGCTCGCATCACATGACGCAATCCTGAACGAAACCGAATGAACCCCAACGATCTATCACTGTCAAGCCTCAAAGTCGATACACAATAATACAACCCATCCCCGCACATCACAATCACATCTCCGCCACCCTCAACCTAATAGTGGTACCCAGCGCTGCCAACAACACAAAGCAAGAAGAATAGTCAGGCCATACCTTGTCATAGTACAGCTCTTCCGCCGGGGCCCGTCGACGAAAGGCTCGTTACACGAAGATGATGCTGAGTAGGTAATGGCGAGCAGACGATAGCGAGTAGTGCAGCTAGGGTGAATAACGCTGCGCCGGTCGAACCCCGCAGATTATCTGCATCCATGAAGTTTGACAATGTCGTAGCGATGGATCCGATGAGTACTGCAAAGCTGAGCCATTCCTGGGACAATAGAAACGAGAAAGAGCGAACAAACTGGATCAACGAATGAAAAAGTCTTACCAAGAAAGTGCGTTCGTTTGCGAAATACACCTTAGGCTCGACACGAACAGATACCGCAATCCGCTTGCCCGCCGGCGCAGTCCAGTCCCTCATCAACAACCGCTCATCCTCGCGCAAGTTCTTTTCATCCAGACCAGCAGCCTCCCACACATCCCCAGCCGCTCATCAAACGCAGAAGAAGGCGCAAGTGGGTCAACAGACACAATCCTCTGTTGTCATCGCAGTCCTGCCTACGGAAGAAAAAGAAAACTGGGATAGGAAGACGAAGATGGGCAATCAATGTCTAGCATGTAACTCGCATGCGCCACTAAATTCGTACGTCAGGGTAAATCATCTCACTAAACAAAGAAAAGAAGGAACGACTATGGAGCAACATAAACAAGTTGCGAGACGTTTTACATGGTTCCAGCCTTCCACTTCGTGCACGTGTGGGGTAGGCAGCAGTAATGCAACAAGATATTGGTTACTTAGTCCATTGAACAAGTACTGCGACGATACTTCGAACACAAAGCCGCTCCCTGCAGGGTACTAGTACCCGACAACTGTTAATCATATCGAGCACTTCTCGTGCTATATACACTGCTGCTAGTTGACGCACGCACGCGCTCCTGGAAAGTAATCGAAGACATGCTGTTTGCTGCATCACAGTCGGTCACCTGCTTAGCATGATATTCTTGAACACTAAGGATCAAGCGTGGTCCCACCACAAACATCTGCACGAACGAGAGAATTTGAAGAACACCAAGATATATCTGAGTTCCAAGGGAAGATGGGTCCTATAAAAATTACGACTGGCTCTCCACGAACCTACAAAATAGTTGTAAATACGATATGAATTAACGGACGGCCACCAAATGGGATCATTTGAGACTAGGATCATACTGTTAAGGTGTGAGGGATCGGTGAAGTCGGTGGATGTATGACAACGACAAGTCGTGCTAGATATACACCACCGTCCGTGCATCAATTTTCACAGCCTGATACATCCTGATAGCATCAGTAAATCAATGGGCTCTCTGAAGAGTCGATAATTCGAGATCGCGTCCATCCTTACGAGACAGCCCCATTCTGTTGACAAAATGAACGCTACAATCGAAATACCAGCCTCGAACCCTAGAGTAGTTCGCCAGCTCACTGCACCCCCAAATCATAGGGTATCTTCGCGTCCTAAAATAGGACTAGCTGCTGGAAGTTGTGTAACTTGCGCTCACCGAGTTGCTGCATTGCTTGCGAGATCATAGATACCGTTGGGTTAGACAACCTAGATCTGAGCATCGATCCAACATCGATACCTCTATTGTGGGGTCACATCTTGTTTGATTACGTTCCAGACCGGATAAATATTAGCGATAAGATCATAATGAGTCTAACAGTGGTGGATTTGAATCAAAATCCATGACTGCAATCCTGTTGACCACGCACCACAATGTGTCGGTAAGTTCAAGTTGTGTGGATAGACGCTAGGTAGTACTACGACATCTACCCACAATACGACTTACTATGTACTGATGCCTAACCTAGTCTCGAAACCAGACATTCTGGAGCTCACGTCGGAGTTCGCAAGAAAAAGCGCAGAGGACGCCCATAGACGAATGGAGATAGTCGCCAGTTTACGTAGCTTGGGACGAGGCGCCTCGCCCAGGCATCTTCCGAGTCACTGCCACTTGGGCTCCCCAGAGATCTTTTAATTTTACGGGGTTGATGGGGCGACAACAAGCAGCATGTTGGCGTCATTACACTGCTCGACTTCGCCGAGCTTGCCCCAGACGCGGCCTGGGCCGGACCGGCCAATTAATCTGACTGTATCACTGTTAGGTAAGAGACTAACCTGGACTTGCACCAAGCTGGCATACATACGCGCATGTGAGCCTCGCATCATAAACCTGAATCAAAACGAATGAATTCCAGTGATCTATCAGCGTCCAATCCTCAATATACATAACAATACATCCCATCCCGCACATCATCACATCTCCGCCACCCTTAACCCAATATTGGTACCCAGCGCCGCCAACAATACAAAGCAAAGAATAGTCGGGCCGTATTTATCATAGTACAGCCCTTCCGCCGATCGCGCCCGTAGACGAATGGCTCGGTACACGAAGATGATGGCGGAGTAGGCGATGGCGAGTAGTGCAGCCAGGGTGAACAGCGCTGCGCTGATCAGGCCTCGCGGATCATCTGCATCTACGAAGTTTAATAACGTCGTAGCGATGGATCCGATGAGCACCGCAAAGCTGAGCCATTTCTGGTACAATAAAATAAGTGAATGATCTAGACCAGTGAATGAAAGAAAGTCCTACCAAGAACGTGCGTTCGTTTGCGAAATATACCTTGGGTTCTACACGAACAGGAACTGCAATGCGCTTGCCAGACGGCGCAGTCCAGTCTCTCACCAACAATCGCTCATCGTCCCGCAAGTTCTCCTCATCCAAACCAACAGCCTCCCGCACCTCCTCTTGCGCACGAGGCGGCACATTCTTCTTCGCCTGCAAACGCTCGCGCAGGCGCTCATCAAACGCAGAAGAAGGCGCAAGCGGATCGATCGACACGGTCCTCTCTGCCATCGGCGGCCGTGGCATCTTCAACAATGGTGTCCGCTCATCGCACACCTCCTCACGAGAACTGCTGCCCTCGCTAAACTGAGGCGTAGACATATCGCGTTCCTTGAGAGATTTCTCGCGGAATGCGATGGCTGCCGCGACGTCATCGTGGGGTAACCCCATGCGCCGAAATTCATCTCTGGCAGGCGCCAAATCCATCTCCTCATCTTCTTCGCCCTCTGAGACGGGCTCAACATATGAGTGCACGGGCGAGAGGACGCCGGACTGTTGCTCGGGAGTGCTCTTTGCGGGGCGCTCGACAGTGAGGTAACCCGTGTTAGGCTTAAGGATATCGGTATCCACTGGGAATGTAAGGTAAGCAAGGTGCAATGGAAGTCTCCTGACTCACTTTGGGGCAGCCAGAATGGCACAAGATCTACACGATTTGGCAGCAAGGTAGCGCAACCATGGATAAATTTACTAGCGATAGTCCGTAAGTAGTATAAATAGAAACGCCTTGCATGTGAGACTCATACCTAAACTTGGGAACAGCTTCGACGAGGTAGGATTGAACGAGGTCCGTGACCCACTTGGGAGGCTCTTGTCCGAACTGGGTCTGAAGCTTGACTTCTAAAACACCGTACCTTTTAAGAGCGTGAATATTCTATAGGATCAGCTCGATAACGAATACGCACTTGAAAAGCTCCTTGTCCTCCGCTGGCAGTTGGTCAAAAGGATGGTCGATGCCAATGTCAGTCCGTCGCCAGTTATCACCAGCACGCGACCGACTGTCCCAGTTGTCTTCACGAGCCATCGTGAGTTCTGTATCAAGCGATATCCGTACACGGGGATCTCCTGGGAGCTGGAACGCAGTTCGGTTGTAAAATGTCCTCATGACTAGCATATTTATGAGCAAAAAAGTCAGATGTTGGCCGTGATTACACACCCGGTTGGAGCTGCTTCGTAAGAATACGATACTGAACCTCGCTCGCAAGCTGGATCATGGAATCGACTTCGGCTTGGGTTTTCTTGCCTTTGTCGGCTAGAGCTTGGAGCTCCGCGTCCATGGTGTATTCTCCACGCAGGAAAGCGTTCACGAGATGTTCTTTGATGGGGAAACGCGCCTTGACGGATTTTTCACCCGTCCAGTCTTCTCTGTGCGTCTTACGCTCGACGAAAATCTGGGAGGACCTTGAGTGTGACCTTGACAAATGGACAAGGACACACTCACAGTTTTCACATCTGTGTCGCCGTACCACCGTAGACGAATAGCTTCGGCACCCTCTGTCTTCTCTAGTCGACCGAGGTACAGTTCAAGATCTTCATTGTCGAAGTATATGGAAGTAATGGCTGCGATACGCATCGGAATCAAGTCTTCAGCTTTGTAACGACAACGTACCAGCATCCTTCTGCTCGAATTCCTTCTCGGCATTGAACACTGCAAGGGGAGTTAAATCAACTGTAAGTAACGACAGTTCATCATCACCGACCGAGAACGGGTAGATGTCGTAAAATGGCCAGTTTCAGCGGTACGAGGTTATCTGGATGCACCTGGAATAATCTTGTTAACAGAAATAGACTTGAAAAGAATTTTTTTTGGATGATTACCCAATACTTGGTCGTCTGACGGACGAAGGCACTTTGGTTCCCGCCTGCGCTTGAATCACCCTGTACAGGGTGACCGCGGGTGCGGACAAGGTCGTAGAGCTTGGATAACTTGACAATCAAGGCGTCCCAGTTATATTTATAGAAGGGTCTTTCCTCAAGATAGTCTTGAATGAACGTAGGTTTGAGTGGAAGGTTCGTTAATTTCTAAGAGCGGTCATGAATCATGACACAAGATGATATCCGGAGAACGCACATCATGTTTCTAAGGAGAGAATGGTGAGTTGGCAAAAAGCAAGAGGTACGAGGGGATATACCTTTAGAATTTTGAGGAAACCGGTGATATTCAATTTTGTGTACAGTGCCAAGTCGTGAACATCTGCTACAAGGGTGGCGACTTCTTCTTCGAGGCCATGAAAAATGTCTTCAAGTGAGGCATCAGATTGGTTGTCATCCATGTCATCATCGTCATCGGAACCCTCATCGGGTCCGTAGTCGGAAGGGCGTGCCTGGTGAGATTCTGGGTCGGAGGAATGGGTTGGGGACGGTTCAGAAGCAGACTGCGCAGATTCTTGAGCGACGAGTTTGTGGACATCTTTTTCAGCCTCCCGTATACGGCGAGACAACTCGGCGGTCTGAATAGCATCAACTCGAGCGGAGGGATGAACTGGGTGATGAGGGCTTACCTTTTGTTTCTGAAAATCATGAACTTTATCAAGCTCCCTTTTGAGCATGGCGGTGAAATCACGTTCATCTTTATCGTCCCAGGTGTGGGAGGTGGTACGGGCCTGCGCAGGTAAAGCGGATGAGGATGGGTCAAGTAGTTCGGGGCGGAAGTCACCTTAAGTTCCCGCTTCAACAAATTGTAGTCAATGTAGAAGGGTCTCCACTCATCATAAAGATTTGTCTGTCAGAGCGATGGTCGGCTAAAATTCGCTCCACACACATCGCCATACGCAAAAATGACGCACCGTGATCTTCCTGCCAAACTTCATTGTGAGAGTCAGCGCTTTAGGAACACTGCCTAGACGAGCGTTCGGCGGGTCAGTACTAGCGCTACTGATAGAACAGCACGAAACAAGGATGTTCGGGCGTTAACGAGTCAACGCGGAACAAAGTATACCCAGTTTATACGAGCGACGCTGACTAAGATTTAGTTAGAGCATGATGCCAAGGTCTTCTCTTCTTTATGGAAAGACGACGTCACAGCCGTTTACCCGCCCAGTTCCTCGGTGTATACGCTGCTGGACGATCAATACACCCGTGCTTCTCGAATGAAAATAATCAACACTCGCTCATCATTTGGTATTTCCGCCGCGCGCAAAGTCGGTGAAAAGGTCGCAGGCATATCGCGTGGCAATCACGTGGCCATGATCATCGTCATCATTACAAGTCAGTCTTTGCATATTTAAGAAGTAGATCTTCTTTTATCTGGTCACCTACGGGAGACTAATCTTTGCATGCACAATGAGCCGACAAAACTACTCGAGCACTGCTAATTTGCATACTGATGGATCCATACGCAGGACAAAAATCCTCTTCCTGGGCACGAGAAGGTGCATATCTACGTTGAGCTAACCTCTTCCTCTACTTTCCTAACCTACCCCAGGAGTGGAAAGACTTCCATACTCCAAGTTCTCTTTGATGATCTCCCCGCCAAACAGACTTTTTACCTCGAGCCCACCATGCGCGTCGCAAAACATTTCATTGAGTGTGCTCTCATCCCTGACTTATGCTGGCGCGAAGTACTGAACACTATCCCTCAGTACCATCATCCCGTTAGAGATATGGGATTGCCCAGGAAACGTCACCGTCGACACACTCGGTGCATCCCTCGCTGATTTCTCGACCATTGTCTTTGTCATAGACATTCGAGTACGTGCGCTCCGCTTACCCACTGACCGCCACCCTCATAGAAATGCGCAGGATCTGTACCAACAACCTGTCTCAAAACTCGTAGAATTCATTGTCGCAGCATGTCAAGTGAACCCAGATATCAACTTTGAAGTGTTCGTTCACAAAGCAGAAAGGCTCCAAGAAGACGACAAAATCGGTACGCCTGTCCCATATGCATTCTTTGCTCGAGTGGCTGATACAGCACGCAGAAAACTTCCGTCAGATACACGAGCGTGTCATGGACCGCCTTCTAGACGAATCCCCCGAATTCGAGCAATTCCCACTTAATTTCCATCTCACCTCAATATATGATCATTCTCTCCGAGAAGCCTTCTCCCGCGTGCTTCACAAACTGATTGACTCCCTACCGTACCTAGAAGAACTATTAAACGTCTTTTGTTCTGTACGTACCTTCACTACCCTTTGTCACTACTCTCCCCTCTAACCGCTCACAGAACACCGCCTCCCCAAAGGCTTTCCTATTCGATACATCCAGCAAAATCCACGTCGCAACAGACACCTCACCAGTAGACCAAGCAACGCACAACCTCTGCTGCGACTACCTATCCATGCTCAACTCATTTGGACCCTTGTACAGGTACGTACGCATCATCTAACACCCTCTCACCCACTAAACCATTCTAATAGGTCCAGCTCCAACGACCCACAAATGACTCGATTTTCTCCAACACGAACGCCCCCACCCACAGCAACCGCATCAACTCCCGCCTTCAGCACCACTCCCGCCGGAACCCCACCCCTCACCACTTCATCCCCCGTCCCCACGTCAAAACCCCACTTCTTCCCTTCTGCAGCGACGTCGCTCTCACCTTCGCACCCAGGAACTACGCTTACTTACCACCTCGTGACGCCGCATCTTGCATTGCTGGCATTGCTTCCGACGACGGTGTATGAGATGCGCAGGGGTTTGGTGGAGTGGAACGTTGTGTGGTTTCGGGAGGGCGTTAGGGAGATATGGGAGGTGGAGAGGGAGCGGAGTACGGGGGAAGTTGTTTGATTTTCTATTGATATCGTGTGTGTACTACTCTCCGTGAGTTGTGGTGCAAATCAATACTACTTATATTGAGGAGGGCTTGTAAGATGACATATGAGCCATATCACTATCATTGTGAAGAAGAACTTGAAGTGACTGCGAGACTGAGTTAAGTGACAAGTTCCCCGGTGCCAGTCCGGGCGAGAATTCGGAGCTACAGAAAACACAAGGAAAGTAGTCGAGGAACGAGACGTAGAGTAAATGGAGGTACATGTCCGGGAATTGCGGGATGGTTAAAGAAGGCGCCATGTGAATAAGAGGAGTGGTTGACGTCACGTCCCAGAACATCGTACGCATACTAGTATACATGTACACGATGTAGTACACGCAGGCTCAAAGATGCGGCAGGACCATGATCGATCGATCGTCGGAGGAAGCAGACTATGTTATATATTAATAAGAAGGAACGACAAGCTCTCTCGGCTATTGAACAAAGACTATCGCGAACAGGCAGAATGTAGCAGCCACAATCGTTTCAGCTAGAGGCTTACCAACTAAAAATGACAGAACGACAAAACTAATAATAGCAATCAAGCTTGATACAACACATCCGATCTCGGGTGCAAATTGATATACCTGCGCAAGGTTAGGCTCTGACTCAGGAAATCGTTAGAAACACCACACACCTTTGAGAATTTCTGCTCTTTGGACAGTACAAGTCCCAGTCCTTCTGACGAAACAAATTTCTGCCCTTCAAATAAAATAGCAAGGCAAGACTGCAGACCCTTCAAACACCACTGCCTTTCGAGCCAGCAGAGGAGATGACGATTCCAGAAAGACTTAAACAGACTGTCATCGCATGGATTCGGAGCTCGCGAAAGATGGAAGGCCCAATTTTGACATGCATAGACCAGAGCGCCGGAAGCTAATTGGCTTCGTCCCCGTGCTTCGTCCGCGAATCTCTCAAAAGCCCTCATAGCGTGGATGACCCCATCATGTGGTAGAACACGACCCCGTGGAAATGCAGGGGTGGAATAATCCCGATGCCTTAATGTCAAAAACGCCGGAAATATCAAGAAATCCGGCAAGCTCTGGAACTGCTGGATCGCTTGGAAAGCTGGCAGTAAAGGAAAGTCTGGGATGACCGTGTACTTGCTGATCGCGTCCAATGTGCTCGAGAATTCTTCCATTGTCACCCAGACAGATGCCGCAGGAGTCGACTGCCAGGCTAGACCATCGGGCGTCTGGGGCCAGTCTCTCCCGCTCTGGGTCTGGAGCCAGTCTTTCCCGTTCTGTGACAGAAGCCAGTCTTGCCCGCTCTGGGTCTGGAGCCAGTGCTGACCATCTGGAGTCCGGAGCCAGTGTAGCCCACTCTGGGTCTGAAGCTGGTCGTGCCAGTCTGGCCCGTTCTGGTCGTGCCAGTTGTTGAACCAGGAGAGTACCAGATTAAAGATTGTCAAATTTGGAACTAACGCGCGGTGCTGCAGCCGGGCTTGTCTCTCCGGGATCAGCAGCCGGGCTTGTCTCTCTGGGATCAGCAGCCGGGCGTTTCTCATCTGGATCAGTAGCTGGGCGCGTCTCGTCTGGATCAGCGGCCGGGCGTTTCTCGTCTGGATCAGTGGCCGGGCTTTTCTTGTCTGGGTCAGCAGCCGGCCTTTTCTCGCCTGGGTCTGCAGCCAGTATTTCCCTCCTTGGGTCTGCAGCCAGTCTTTGCCGCTCTGGGCTTTCAGCCAATGCTTTCCCCCCCGGGACTGCAGCCAGTTTTTCCCCCATCGAGTCTGCAGCCAGTCATTTCCCCACTGAGTCTGTAGCCAGTCATTTCCCCACCTGGTCTTCAGCTAGCCTTTGCCTCCTTGCGTCTGCAGCCAAGCCTGCCCGTCCAGGGTCTCTAGCCAGGAAAGTAAACCTGACCTATGATATCCCCGAAGCCATTTCAGAGCTACAAGGGCATTCAGTGGCGTTGGTGGCTCGACGATGAAGGCTAATGAGCACTTTAAGCTCTGTGGGTTGTAAGATTTCATAGCTTGGCTCTGCCCCTTCAATGTTGAGAGGGCATCCAGTAGGGCAGTGCTTTCTGGCATGTCTCGCATCATCAGGCGGAAAGAGGAACGAGCGAGTAGGGAGTGGGGGTGACTGATATGTTGTACGTCAGGGAGGTTGCAGTTCAAAGGGTCGGAAACATAATCGCGAACGGACGAGTGAGAGATGTTCACGGGGAGAGTGTCGTCAGTAGGAATATCCACGACAGACCGTAGTTGAACCAGTGCCGCCTCGACATCCTTGCCCTCACCAGGGCCAAGAAGGTCTGAGATGTGTGAGATAGGCAGAGGGTCTGCAAGGGCAGCAACAACTGACAAGTGCAGATATGCCCGCGCGGGGTTGGTACATGTGGCGAGGATATGGTCGTATAACTTGTACACCTCCGTTCCTGGTAGCAGCTCGCTCGCGAACTCAAGCATAAGCTGAAGTCGATCGCGAGGATCATGAAATTCGTCGTCAATAAACTTCATCATCGTAGACGCTACGATGAAACGTCTGCCCGCTCGACTCGCCAGCCGCGCAAGTTCATCCTCCGTTGGCTGCGGGAAAATCAAACATCGACCTCGCAGGAATGCTCCAGGAAGATATAGATGTCTTTGTCAACATCTGCGCCATCTAAAGAGATGATTGAAGAAGCACCCTCCCCCGTGGTGTTCACTGGTATCTCCTGGACCAAGTGACACACCTCTTCTCGCTGAATAGCTTCACGGATGTGGTTTTTCGAGCGACTTGTGAGCAGGATTTGGATCGCGGGTATATCAGGATCACGAAGAACTCGGCCTAGGAGGGAAATAAGATCGGCAACCTCGGCTTCCGACATGCACTCATCAAGAGCATCAACAATGAACGCCAAAGGTGGACACTCGCGTAGTCTGGATTGAAGCTTCCGCAGAGGTCTCAAAAATAGCGCCTCCATCTGGTCGCAAAGGGATTTGTTGGGATCGAGGAGAGCAGGATCCTCGCGGATGGCTCTGTTTACGTCCTTCCGGACGCTGGGAAAATTAAGGGCAAGTTGGTAGGCGAGGGTCGCAAAGAAATATCCAGTCGTGCAGCGTTGGGTGTGCTTGCGCGAGAAAAAGAATGTGCCTGCAAGCCGCTTCTCTATATTCGTATCTTCTCTCGCTTTCAGACTTTTCATCCTTTCAGCTATGGTGAACGCAACAGCAGACTTCCCAACGCCTGCCGTGCCGTGCAGCCAAACGAGCCCACTCTCTTGGTTATCTAATAATCCGTGAATGTAGTTCAGAAGGTCCACACGGGTCCCTTGCAAACATTTTGGATGAGGCTGGCGTTCGCGGGAGTCGTATTCAGCGCCCTTGACGGTGACGTGGGACAGCCTCTCCCAAGTTCCTTCAGATAATCGAAAATCGCCAGAAACTTTGAATGAAGTTAGCAAGTGAGTGAGGGAACAAATGATGAAGAGTCTGACATTGATCGTGACTCAGTGACATTGACAAATGCTATCACAAGCTGTGGGATCGAATTGAAAAACACTGGCTGGCTTGAACTGCGTCCGAGTTAGCAATCGTATTTCAGGTATGTCGAGATCCGACGCACGCAGACGTGAATCAGGGAAGTCACACGAAACTTGGATCGTGAAATGATTTTTGGCACAGTCACTCAGTCTGTTCGAGGCTTGCTGGATGGTGGTGGAATGGGTTGAAGGACGAGTGCGCACTGCACTCGCCTGGTTGTAAGAGGACTCAAGACACGAGGCTACCGTGAGGATAGCTCCATGCGGGAGTTTAAATTTCCGTTCACTGTACATGAATTTCGGTTCGCTAGCGAAAGTTGAACTTCTCGGGTTAGTCGATGAAACCACCAGCGACATTGATTCAACTAAGAAGTATAGATAAGTAGTACTTACACCGAGACGCGTTATTTTAATTTATTTGTCCGACGCGTTGGGCTTATAGGGGCATGCGATGGCGCCTCTCTCTGATTCAATCCCTTGACAGCAATCTTTAACAAAATCATAATGCTACCGCGTCTTCTTACACAACGCTTTCGAAGTTTTTTTTTTCCAAAATACATCGTCATCACCCGCAGCAGGTTCCGATATTTCAGTATAGCACGTCCTGAAGTTGTATCTGCGGACCCTTCGGCAGCGCCTCGGTCTCCATACAAACATGTCCACGTTAACGCAGAGGGCATCGAAGTTGAACTAGCATTTGTTGAGGAGCCGTTAGCAATTCCTGCCCAGCAAGGGCATGACTATCTTCGTGTCGAATTCACCGGGTCAATAGATCCAGAGAACTGCTTCAAAAATCACCCGCAAGCTCGGGTGGGGCATGAACTCCAGTATCTGGATGGCGTTCGATGAGACGTATGTTCCAACTAGCAGCCACACGTGTTATTTGACCATTCACGCAGAGAAAAGAAATATGTCCCGGTCAAAGCTTTGAAAGGATATTCAACTGGTCTGGCCGAACGAGGCATAATGTTGGAGCTACCTGCCCTCGAACGCTCAACTCTTGCATCTCCGCCATCCGACCTCACGTCCAGTTACTGCCTTCATCTTCTCGCTTTTTCCAAACAACCTGGCAAAGATCGAGATGGGAACTATCTATGCTTCGTCACGGACATTTTGGGGGAGACGTCAAATCACTCCAGAAGGAGGTGGCTCGTGGAGAAGGCTTGCCTCTACCTCTTGTAAAGCACATCATGTCGCACACTTTGTGTGGTCTCGCGCGTATGCACGAACTTGAGATAGTGCATACGGATCTCGAGCAGGGCAATATCATCTTTGATATGGGTTCGCTCACACAGGCTGATATTGCAGTCTTCATCGAAGCGAATCCAGCTCGACGCCACCCTCCAGAACAGTGCTTGAGTTGTGTTGTCCAGGCCGCCGTCTCTCAACCCTTACCGCTACCTTCGCTTGCTGAGGCCATGACACACAATTACATCGTTGCAGACTTCGGCAGCGATGAGGAACAGTTTGTGATCATATGATAGAGTTCTTGATTCTAAAACAGTTATGATCGGCCGGCAGGAACGGCGGACTGATGGGGGTACGCCTCACATCAGGGCATTCGTGCATCCAGAGATGACAGGGACACTGGGGGTTCCCTAGACTAGAACGAATGGTCCTACTAGTACATTGAGTACATCTCTCAAAAGGACATAAGTAAATTGGAATCAAAAAAAAATAGTTATGATGGTTCTATCACTCACGGTCCTGTATCACAGCGCCCGTGCTTCGGACTTTCTGACCGGATGCTATCCCTTTCTTGACAATCTTGACGGCAGTTGATCGATTCCAGCTCCTCGTTCGATTCCAACATGAGGTGAGATTGAAGTTTCAACTTGAAGTTCGAGCAGTTGGAACGGGTAAAATGCATCGCCGGAAGCCGTCAAACCGAGTAAGGACCCTTGGCCCTGCAAGAATGGAAGTTCATTAAGGTGGGGTCCGAACACGATTGCGTTGTTCCAGAGAAGTCGAAATTGGAGGAGAAGAAGACGAAGAATGTGTACATGTAAAACACATTCATGCTGATGCCGACTTGACATGACACTAGTGTGGTACAAAGATACTTGTTCTGTTATTGACGGAATCACCAGAACTTATAGGGCGCTGGATGGGCCAAAGCCCAAGGATAATCGTCGACTATCACGAAACGACCGATGTCGTGAAGGGGCCGAACAACACATTATTGTCGTGGCTTCAGATCGATCATAAAAAGGGATTCCAAAGACAACAGACCATTACGCAGCATTACGCTCTATTACGCCGAGCAGATTTTTCTTTATCAACCTTTTCGGGTCCAGGATTTCCCCACTCCTGGGGTTTCTAACTCTGTCAACTTCGAATCGCATCTAAACACTCAACAGTCACTATTAGCATGATATCCAATTGATATTCGTGATTGGAGCTACCAGCCTGTAGGTTGGCTTAGCGCCTCCCCGGACGGTGTCAAACTTTCGCCATGTCTTCAGGTCATCTCTTACGTTTCTCGAAAGGTGAGGTCACTATTGATCTGTTCGTCCGAGTAAAGATCTCGGATTACACTCATCCTCATACCCGAGGTCGGTTCCGGGGAGCACTCTGCAGTATAAAGGCTGTACGAAGTTTGAGCTTTACGATCGACTCAGCTTTTTAGGTAGGCTGCACCCTTAGTAGTATGATTTTGGCTGCTGCTACTCTCCTGGGTCTTGCGCTCCGCGGTGCTGCTTGCGCGGGTGATCACTTGCGCGCTCGTGACGGTCATGTTCATGAAAGGCGTGCGTACCCACCGGTTCCACTTGCACCACCCTCCCGCCCTCTCGTCTGGGGGGACTTGAATGTGATACACACCACCGATAGCCATGGCTGGCTGCTCGGGCACCAGAAGTCATCTTGGGCTGAACCATACTACAGGTGAGTGTTCACAGAGGAATTACTTCGAGCCACCATCGCTCAATTCACGTAGTGGGGATCTTGGAGACTTTTCTAGCTTTGTGACTCACATGAAGCAAATTGCTATTGTTCGTCTATTAGTCTGAACTCTGCGTTCGTTGTGTATAATTCCTATTGCAGGATAAGGACGTCGACCTTCTTTTGATAGACTCAGGTGATCTTCATGATGGTATGTGCAAACTATTCACTGTCTGGGATACAATTCAATTCACGTCTTCCAGGAACTGGTGTTTCTGATGGCTATCCCCCTGGTGGTGTTGATGCTCATGAGGTCTGTTCTGTTCATGGGTGATGCATATCCCAAACTGATATGTTGCACGCGTCTTTTACAGTCAAACAAGTTCCTCGAGCGCCTTCCTTATGATCTCATGACCATCGGAAAGTAAGTGTCGAGTTTTCAATCCTCTTCTAATCCGCATCCTGGCGGTTGAACTGACAATTCCTCTTTCATAGCCACGAACTGTACGTTTATGCGGATACATATGACATGTGCGTAATACTTGATGTTCTGTGCGAATTTCTATCTGACTTCATGGATGACCCGCAGGTACACAAACTTTGTTCCCCATCTCGCTGGGCGGTACTTGACCTCTAACGCCAATATCACTATTTTCAACTCAGACGGCGAGGCTGAAAGTGTTCCAGTGGGCAGTAAGTTCGAGTTCAAAATCATCTTTTCTGCTACCAATGTCTTTCTTGCAGACCGTTACACCAAGTTCACCACCAGGAAGTAAGCAATCTTATGAAATTCGGGAGAGACGCTTATCCATTTGATATGGCAGAGGCCGCCGCATCACTTCCCTTGGAGTTCTATTCAATTTTACTCAGAACGATGTGAACACGACGGTGCAAAGCGTTGAGAATATGGTCAAGGAGCAGTGGGTGCGTTATTCTACACGTTCGAGCAATGACAACCCACCATTCTGATTTCTGTTCAGTTTGCTGAGGCTATCGCAGAAGAGCCTGACGCCTTTGTATTTCTTGGGTATGGTGAATCCATTGTTACTGAAAGAATTATTACATTGACGTCACCGCAGACACATGCCAGTTGCTGATGACAGCTGTAGGCTAACCTAGTAAAACAATCGTCAAATGATGATCTGACAAATTGGTCATCTAGGGCCTACTGTTTTCAACGCTGTGCGGGCTGTGCACTCTCTGACGCCCATCCTAATTTTTGGAGGTGGAGGCCATCATTTCAATTGTTTCGAATACTATTCTCATCGAGGACTTAGGACACACCCACATCCGTGATTGTCAACAGTATGATGGTCGTTCTATGGCTCTCGAAAGCGGACGCTACATGGAAACAGTCGGTGTGTAAAGCTCAAACATGAACGAGGGGTAGTGTCTGACATGTTCTTCTAGGCTGGATGAGTACGTTGTTGTACCAACAGGGTATCTCAAACACCTGACCCAGGGATTTAGGTGCGAACCTTGATGCTGCCAAGGGCAACGACAACAATGTTTCTTTCACGAGGAGATATCTTGATCAGAACCGTGTGACCTACGAGGTAAAGTGCCTCTCGCAGTTCCTGCCGCTCGCCTAATTCAGCCCATGACAACTACTTAGTACCACACCCAAACCTCAAACAAAACATTTGACACTGACGAGGGGCAATCGATCACTGACGGCCTGCAGAAGCTCGCGGCCAGTTTCGATTTGTCCTACCTGTATGGAACGGCCCAGCAAGATTATACCATGAATCAGTGGGTGCCCCTTAGGTAGTCATGTTACTTGAATCGCCAGCTCAATTATGCGCTAGGAACCCATATCCTTCCGACGGATCTCTTCTATCTCTTTTCATTGAAGAAGTGAGTACTCATTTTCCAGTGACGATTTCTCAGGTATCAACGCGCTTGTTAGGTTGTCCCATACACACTCGCCATTAACAACACCCGCGCTTCCATTCCCAACATAATTATCTGCAATTCGTATGCTCTACGCTTCGACCTCATGAAGGGTTCATTCACCAAGGACGATCAACTAACCGTCATGAATTATAAGGATGAATTCTTATACATCGCCAATGTCCCATCTAGCCTCGCAAACCAAGTGCTCCCCGCCTTGACTGGCCCAACAACGACACGGAAGCGAGATGATGCTGAGGAGGACATTTGGAGCCACGAGGTTGTTGATGTTCGGTACAGAGCCTGGCTGGAGGAGATGGACCGCCGTGCTGGATTGGGTAGACGAGAAGCGATGGCAGGCAATTTGACATATGGATATGTCACGAAAGATGTAAGGGCTTCTTCTCGTCCTCGGCTATCATGCTCATAATGCTGGCTCAGTCATGCTCTGGCGCTGGTCATGCAGACGACACACTGCACATGGCGTTGCCTTACTACGAAATTCCACGCTACATTGGCTCGAACCCCCCTAACGTGACAGCCGACACGCCTATTGACCTTGTCTTCCTCGACTACCTTGGAAAGAAGATGGTCGGCATCCTCAACGGCTTGCAGAAGGATAAGACCTATACTATGGATGATGTTTCATCGTACAGTCCGACGCTGACTAGCGTAATGCTGGGCATGTATGCTGAGGCCAAGTGGAACTGATCGTACGGCGTTTGGTTATACGTAATTGTAATTAGCTTTCTTATTCAATTATCTGACACATCTCGAGTCCACTGTGTCAACAGTCATGCCTCGAATGAAGAGAGGCCTTGTACAATGGACACGCTTTAGTCATGCTTTCGTTGATCCCTTACGGTCATCTTCTTTCATGGTGTGTTAATTGTTCTAGCGCTGTTGCTTCGAGCTTCGAGCTGGGTTATCTGTCTCCAACAATGTCAGCGATATGCCTATCTGCCATCGACCTCTGCACGCGACCATGGTTCATTATGTCTATAGAGCCCATACTCCCCGGAAATTATTATTTATGATGGCATCGCTCAAATTTTCGTGGTCATGTAGATGTTTATGCTGGGACCGCGCCTGATCCTTAGCATCCGAGAATATCACGCCAAGTGCGTGGCCGACTCCGATGCAGCAACCGCCATGATCTCAATTGCTTTCCAGGAACGCGTGCATGTGACAACTAGTAGTAGTACGGGAGATGCTCGATGTGATTCACAGTCGTCGGATACTCTGCAGGGAGTGAGAAAATTTGTTTCATGTTTCAAGTTTCGTCATCGTAGTTATTTACTGAGTTGTGTGGTGTTCCAAAGAGAAATAGGTACTACAGGTCTGGACAAATACCTTGCTGCATCACTCCTGATACTAGCTGCCCGCCCGCGCTTGACCAAGTGGCAAACTGAAACCATGTAAAAGGTGTCGCAACCAAGGGACTTGACGCTCGAACTGAGCACTAGAAGGCATAGATTTCAAGTAAAATCCATTTATTCATCGTTTATAAAGTCGGGTATAACTGAGCGCGTTGCGACTTGCCATGTTTTCGCTCATTCTAGAGGTCTTGTCGACTCTTCGTCATGAAGAAGTGCCCCATTGTATGGTCCTTCTAGTATCCAAATGCACAACTGCAGTCTAATTTCCGAGTGTAGTGGGAGCACCGGAGTTGGTTCCCCTGGCCGGATGCGGGCTCGTTTCATCATTTCATTATGTTGGTCATCCCTTGAGTGTCCTGAGTGATACGGTAAGAGTGACCTGTGGGATGTATGCCGCCTAGCGCACACCAAGTCCGGCTCGAGAGGCCAAGTGCAGTAAAAATGGGGAACAGGAAGATGCAGCACCAGGTTTATCCTTGTTGGTGAAGCAAGCGTTCGGCTTCGAAACCACGAGACGACATCAAGCAAAACATTGAGGCGGACCATGAGTCACAGGGACAAACCTGACGCGATCAACCCGCTGCCCCCCGCTTTACTTCCCCTCGTTGTCAACAGCACCCAGCCTTCGGGGACGGTGGTCTGCAGGAGGTGCGAACGAGGTGGCCTGCCTAGTTAGTAGTTGTACACAGACTGGATTCTGCGCGTTCCTCGGCGGCACAGAAGATAACATAAGCTCACCAGTGCCTCTGCCAATCATGCGCGCTACCAAACACCACCAAATCATTGACACCTGCCCACACCCAGCTTGGTTTGCTCATCGTGAACGCTGAGCAGGCGCCGGACAAGGCGTTGGATGAGACGGCTCTATTTGCGGATCATGTGGAATACTGACAATCCCCGCGCACTTTCAATAACCTTCTCCATACCTGGTCCACAGACATTTCCATGCACTGCAACCTGCGGATACGATCAGGAACTCCAACAAACCGGATATAGTGGCTGAAAGAAGACTGAATCAATGCTGCTGGGGGCTGCGCAGTGTCGAGACTGTGGTCGACTAATTGGTGCGGACTTCGAATCCTTGCCAGGACGTGCTTTGGTGGTGGTGATGGCAAGTTGGGATCAAGTTCTCAGTGCACTGCCACACATGTGAGTTGTTAGACTGTTAATTATATACACATCAACATCAACACCGTCCTTTGATCGCCCCATAACGCACAGCCCGGGGTATGATTTCGCTGAGTCGGCCTGGAGGACTATACTGCCCTGAGTCCCCTGTCTTGCACGTTTCCACCACGCAGCACTCCATTATTCCATCCATTCCATTGTGGGAATCACTCCAATAGCCAGCCCTGGCAGGTCTCCAAACTACTTGTTTGCCTCAGACTTCTCGTGCACAGCCATAACACGAGCCAACGCTCATGTTCCCCACGAGAGAATGAGACTGTAAATTGCGAGAACGTTGAAAGTTTTTAACAGCGGGATCACCACAGCTCGGACGATAGGTAGCCATGAACGGCGATCAGTGAGTTTATTCATGGTTTCTGAGAAGCCGAAGCCGAAATTAATGCTTATTCTGTGCGTCCATATTTTTGGCTAATGCGTCGTGTGGCAGGACGCATGCTGATGAACTCGGTACAATTCCGCGACGCTGATTCAAAAGTTTATCATCTGGCTACTGCACGATAGCCCTCCACCGATCGTGATGCGTCAATCGTCGGTCAGGGTACTACGGTATATTTAGCTTCTGCGTTCGCATGAATTGAAGCTATCGGACCCTAGTGTCCCGTCTCGTGGAAGCGTTACTAACGTTGGCAAAATATCATCTTGCCCTGGCACTGCTCTTTCACATGGGCTTCGTGCACAGATTGCGATGGCGTGACAAGATTAGTGACGGGTGTGTGCCTATGGTTGCTATTTGTTTGCTTGTTCGTACGCCTCTCCCGTCGCGCTGCTCAGATATTGTTACTAAATACCAATACTTTATTGGTCTTTCCCTCCCTTTATCTATAGCCTTTCGGGAGTCGTACTTCCTGCTACAGGTGCGTGCGTCTCAGTCAATCTGTCTAGCTGTGCAAATCGATGTAACGCTGATCTGTCAATCGCATGATGGTAGTACATCAATTTTCATGACCTCAATTAGTCGAAATAGGAAAAGGTGTCATACCTGTGACGCTCATCGCCACCGTAAAAGCGCTGGATGGTAGTATATCTAGTACGAACACTATCCTCATACAAGTCCCCGCTCGCTCACACCCATCCATAATATGACCGTAGTCTCAAATGATCCTAGTTGGTGGCCACTCATCAATGCAACTCGTGTTTCCAGCTATTTTATAAGTTCGTGGAGAACCAATCAAATCATGATGGTGATAGTCTAACTTGGCTGTGGTTTCGCAGCTGCCGCTTCTGTTGGGGTGATATACGATTGGGGTAAGCAAGATAGCATCAAAGACCCGTTGATATCCTTATGATATTTCCAGCACTTACATTCGGAAAAGAGGTAAGTCTATGCTATCACCGGAGGAGTCATCTCGCTAACAATTGTTTTATAGGTTGAACTGCTCTGGGTGAGCAAACTTCCATGTCGGAAGAATATCGTGAACACACACTCATTCGTGACAGCGGCAAAACTGGTCCCTCATGACGTTTCTGTATCTTAGCGTATGTAACTCGTACTACGACTGTGGTTGGCAAGTCGTGCTGACACAAAAACACCCTAGGTGCGCTATCTTGGAATAGTATATGCTGGGTATGTTTTGAGAGCTAAGCAACTGCGGTTGTGCTAATCAATTATCTCTCACAATCAGCTTGCAGATTATCCGTATGTCTCCTCACATACCATGTAGTTGTATCTTCTCACTAGCGGTATACAGCGTCTATTACGACAATGTCGCTGACCGACGTAGTGAGTATTCTGCACCAATGCCTGCCTTTCCCGTCTAATTAATTGCACCCCCATGTAGGGGTAAGTAAGATTCTTGAATTCTTGATCAGCTTGTTGATTCAATACAACATCTGTCACAGCTGTGAGTTTATCTGGAATGCGATGCTCTGAGGCTGAACATTAACTGAGTTGTCAGGCTTTGTTGTGGAGGCCACAATGAACTGGACGACTGTGGTTGTAACTGCAATGCTGGGCGGTGAGTTATGCAGCGGCGATACCTCAGTGATATTGCCCTTACTAGACCGTCCCGCAAGTCATTATGATCACTCGGTTATATGCGATGTATCAGCGATCCAGAACGGTGCTGGTGCTATCGCATCTTATTGTCGGCTTCCTGGTTGCCAACATTGCCAACGGAGTGATCACCGGAATAATTATGAGGCGTGTTTCGGGGGGTAAGCTCTAATCATGGATCAAAGACTTACACACACCAGGCTCATCAACAAATACCAGAGGAGCTCATTCTCTCCGGGACCCATGTGTGCTCTGTCGGCCCGGACGGAGATGGAGACATTTCACTTCTGAATTTCATGGCGGCAATGCTCATTACTGTGTGGGAGGTTCTCGCACTGTGTCTCGCAGTTTGGATTGCTGTAAAACGCTTCTGTGAACTGTGCCGACAGTCAACAGGACAGATTATCGAGGACTGTTTCATGGTGTTAATGAAATCTCACGTGGTTTACTTTGCAAGGTGAGCCTACACTGCGAATGTGCCCCTATTTTCCGCTGAAGCTTTTCGTGTCCTAGTTTTGTTGCCGTTTCGTGCTTCCAGCTAGCTTATTTGTCTCCAGCGATCTCAGTGGTAAGTCGACCTGTTGCTGACCTCTGCATGCAAGCACAATTCATCATTTCTATAGAACATGTATGCCCTGGAAACTCAGATCTACCTCGGTGTTCTTCAAATTTTCTTGGTCGTGCAGATGTTCGTGTTGGGACCACGCCTGGTCCTTGGCGTTCGAGAATATAACGCTAAGCTCGTGGCGGATTCCCATGTAGCAACCGCCATGACTTCGATCGCTTTCCAGGAGCGTGTGCACGTGTCAACCAGCAGCAGTGTTTAGCACGCGTGGAGATGCTCAATGTAATTTACACTTGTTGCGTGCTCTTCAGGGAGCGAGTTTTTTTGTCTATGTTCCATCGTGGTACATACATACATTGTTTGATCTAAAGAAGCCTTGAAAGAGTAACAGGTCTGGGCAATACATTGTTTCATCAATACTGGCACGAGCTGTTCAGTCACACTTGCAACAAGCGACAGGCTGACACATGCACATGTCTCCCAACCAACCGAATTCCTTGGTGCTCGAACTTCCAAGCATGAGGAGACAGAACAGATACATATTTTGAGGAGCATTGTCAGTGACAATGACGGAATTTGATGAATGGTCGAGAAACAATCAGTACATCACTTTATTGTTGTACACAAGCCAGATAGAACTCTGCTGCATGTGTTGGACAAGATATAAAGGAGATTAAATTGTGACATTCACATGCCCTAGATTGCTGCAGGGACCCACTCCAAAGGCGCCTTGAATAGATGTCTGCAAACTGCAGACTACATATGAGGAGCAAGTCTGGCTATGATGAGATTGGTTTTACATGGCCAACCACGAGCAAGGTGCTGCAATGCCTGTGGAATGCACCATTTGAAAGTTTGAGAGAAATGGAAGGAATAAGTGATCTGAACACATGCATGGAACACCAACCAAGGTTGGTAATGCATGTGATGATCAGAAACCCACTCACCAGACAAGACTAGCCCGATCTAGTGATTTGCAAGGCTCGCATCACCTTGCAGGCTCTCTGCATCCATCCTCTGCCTTGTCCTGTCAGTGAAAGGCATGAGGAATGTAGAACTTGATGGCTGAAAACAACTTACATACCAACAACTTGAAATTAGTCTCGAGTCTTTATTCCTGCTACCTTTAGGTAGCTGGGTATTTGTGGACGTGGAAAAGAGAAAAAAAAGCAAGGATTTGCAGTGGCAGTGCAATGTGGATATATTCAGTGGTTTTTTCTCACATCTCAATTTTGTTGTCTTTTGTTGTTAGCCTCATGGATAGATTCTTTATTCACTCTCCCATTATGTTGTTTATGGTTGAGGGTATAAACATATCTGTTGCATGAGACAACTCTTCTGAAATTTCTCTACTCTCTGTGTCTTTCTTGAATTCTCATGCACTCACTTGTTCTTGAGAGGGTGTGTTTCAGGCTCTTGTGACTTTGCTCAAAGGAGATGTTCAGTTCTCTACTGATTTTCCCACCTGGGTTGCCCTATTAATAAGCCTAATTATACTTGGTAGTGACATGTCTCGCCAACTTTAATTAGGCTTGGATTTGTTAAATCTTAACACCAGCATTAAATAGTGCCCCAGCTCTGTGAAATACCTTCAAGAAATACTGTATCTACCTCACTATGGTGGAGACGGGCGCACAGGCCTGTTTGGCAAGCATCCTGCCTGGTAGGAATTGCATTATCTGTTCATTTTAATCCAATTCAAACCAAGGGGCTTCCCACATGTAAGGCTAGTTGTGAGTTCAAAGGGGAAATGTAACGAGACGAAGTAGATAAGTGACGAGCGTGATGGTGATTGAGACGAGTAGAGAGAACATATAAGATGAGGACTTTCTGCGATAGTTTTCAATCGAGCTTGGAGTGGGGAATCAGCGTCTGGGATTCTGCTTGACTTTGCTAGTAGATATGAGAGTACATGAATGATTTGTATACATTTTCGAACGGTTGACTAGGCCAGAATCGGCATGAAGAGCATATGGTGAGGTGAAAATACTCGGTCCAAGAAAAGGATTGTGAAGTGTGAGCACAAGGTAAGATTGTAAAAGGAAATGAAAATGGAAGTTTGTAACTTGGATGCGAAGAGTAACGGAGTCATGTCATCTTCGCTTTGAAGCGTGATCGGTTTGTAGAGGATATGCAATCCTTACACACACTTCCCATACCTCCTCCTCATTGTGCTCATCATCCCCACCATTCCCCTCCTCCTCATCTTCCCTCTTGCTACCTCCCTCTTGTTACCTCCCTCTTTCTGCTTCCTTCTTGCTGCTTCCCTCTTGCTGCCTCCCTTGTGCGCTTGCCTTGCCTCATATCCTTGTCCTCTATCTTGTTGTGCCCATCATCCCAACCCAGCCAATGCCTCACTGCTCAGGTGTTGGGAGGGTCAAAGGGCTCTCCAAATCCATCATATCCCACAACTTCAGAGGGCACCATCACTGTTCCAAAGTCCTGATTGCTGGCAAATGATGCCAGCATATGGCATAGGCAGATTCAAGCTGTCAGGCTGCTATACAAGGTACATCCATGTTCTTTGTTATTATAATGCTAATTTTGCACTAGAGATGTCAGCAGAGGACCAAAGCATCATTGAGAATATGATGGCAGATTTTGGAATGGAAGTGGAGGTGTTCACACATACAGCACCTCCAGGTGAAGAGGCTTTGATCTCAGTCATGCAGGTGGGGAGCACAAGGCATTCAAAGGGCTTGCTCATCAACTGGCAGATCTCACTGGTCAGTATGTGTTCACAACCATATCCAACTCTTCTGATGATAACACCCATTGTAGTTATCACATTGACCCATGATCTCAGGGAGAACAGACAGAAGATCAAACAACTCATTGGAACCTTCAGATGGATCACCTAGTTGACGCCTACTTAAAATATTGCTGTTGAGATTCTGGGGATGGTATGCCAGATATGTCGGATCAGGACCTGTCAGGCGTCAATGCTTCGTTTTTGATTAATGACATTGAACTCATTGATACTTTCAGTAAGTTTGAAATGGTGCTTTATATCTTAATACTTATTTTTTCTTTGCAGCAAGAAGGCACACACATCTACAACCATTACCATTGCATCAGTACCCAAATGAAACTCTTATCTACTTTGGGTACATTGGGTGTGCCCCAATGTATCCTTCTGTTGCAATATCACTTCATACACTTGCTGCCTACTGTCAATCACATCGAACATGTCCCTGGTTTAGTATCCAATCACAATGCAAAACTTTATGTCAGAAATTTCCTATTTGGGTTACATGACCTTGCAACGCATTGCAATGACCCAATGACAAGCCTAGGTTTCAACATGTTGCAATAAAAGAGTCTCATGTTCCAATTATGTTCCAATTATGTTACAATTATGTTACAATTGGGTCACAATCGAGCCTTTCAACCAAAATTTCAACCAAGTTGGGCAATAATAGCAACTGTCGAAACTGATTTCATTATACTTTGAGATCCAGATCTCAAGGCCTGTTTCAATAATGTTAGAATAAACACACTTAGGTTTCAAGTCAATTCGGACATCCTTGAGACTGAATAAATTTCATTGTAACAATGTAACCATTCAAATATCGACAAATGATATTCTGATCTGATATATATAATACTCTACTACTACTACTACTACTACTACTACTACTACTACTACTACTACTACTACTACTACTACTACTACTACTACTACTACTACTACTACTACTACTACTACTACTACTACTACTACTACTACTACTACTACTACTACTACTACTTCTTCTTGCGGGTTCTCACTGGCCGACCACGTTGCTGCTCTGCTGTATTACCCGACAATGAAACTGGTGCAAGTACCCCAGCCTTTTTGCCTCGGCCCCATTGAGCAGACGATGACCCAGAGGCTACAGCTTGTGACAGGGTCTCCCCATTGCCAGGTATGTCAGAAACTGCAGTGACATCTGGTCCATCAGTAACAACGGCAGCAACAACGGCAGTAACAGCAGCAGGCACAACGGGCGGGAATTCGTCAGTGGCCACAGTAACAGCAACTATAGGCACATTGACAGTATTGCCTGTGCGCGAGACCGGAAGTTGAACAGCAGATCTGGGAACTGGGTTAATGATAGTTTCAGTGGCCTGAGGCGACATGCCAGGGGTGATAGCTGGTACAGTGGGAGGGACAGGTGGCGCAATGACAGCTGGAGTGTCAGTTGTTGGTGAAGTAGGGGTTATGGGAGGTGTGGGATCTTCATTGATAGTCGGAGAATCTGAATCTTTGTGGCCAGCATTAGCGAGGGCCAAGCGCATTAGATCAGAAGTGAAATCTTCGCCTTCGGCTTCTGAAGCTGCAACATTCAAGGTCGATGACTGCCAGATGTGTGTATCGATTTTCTGACAGATTGAAATAATATGGGGTTCTTCCCAAAGCGTGACCCATAGTTGCTTGTAGGCTGTGAACATGGCTGCATACGGTAGTCCAGACCTTGCACCAACTCCATCTTTAGTGAATGAAGTGTCCGGGGACAGAATAAATATCAACTAAACAATCATTAGACACCAAGAACTGATGATAGCAAACAAGGGACGACTTATCACAACCCAACCCCAGGCAAGAAGGCCAGGGGTGCACAATGTTATGCCCCACTTTCGAGCATTACATTTGGCACGTGGCCACCCAACAATGCCCAGCGAATTTTTTCCAAACATTACAATTCTAATTGCCTGTTATACACATTAGTACAAGCATAGTTTCTTCAGGCAGCCATAACAAAAATACCTTTGCGAGCGGTTCCCAGTTACCAAAAACTGTTGACATCGTTGGGTCCATTTCTTGCCTCGTAAAAAGGACAGGCGGAAACTTCGAAGATGATTGACCAAGCAGCTTCTGGATTTCAAGAATTGTATCTCGCTTTGTAAAGCCAGTGTTGAAGTAGGAAGAATCAAGACCAAAAATATGCCCTGCCATCACTCGCAACTTGCCAATCTCGCTTGAGCGACCACCTTGAAGATGGTGTCCCAGCTGTGGTGTTATATACCAATAATCAATTTGCTAAGATCACACAACATTGAACTTAGGACATACCAACAATTGGAAATGAGTTGTCGGTACAAAGTGATGGAGATGATCCGGGAGAAGCGAGTATAGCTCTGTTACGAGACAGAGTTCTTCTGTGCTCTTGGTTGCATAGCGACTCCCAGATAGGATGGCAGGTGGAGGATTTGGCACAGGAAGTTTGAGGATGCAGTGCGCGGGTGGGAACATCTCTGCAATGATACCGTACTTGTGGGAAAAAGTTGCAAGTTCAGCGTCAAAAGCCTTCAGCTCATCTGGAATTTGGGTACTCAAAGATGATCGCCATTGATTGGCTGATAATGTTTTATTTGACTCGCCTAAAGTACGATTGTTGTTCTTGAGCGTTTGGTTTTCGAGTTGTAAGCGCCGAATGATCTTCAAGGAACACAATTAGGAGAGCATATCATAATAGTTGCAGGAATGAAACATACCTCCATGTCCTTGTGTTGCAGCATTCGACCATTCAAGACCGATGGCTGATTGCTAATTGATGAGACCCCTGCAGACGGACCAGAGTCCGATTCATATTCGGACGAGTCAGAGCTATCAGGCATGTTAACTTGATGAGGAGCCTGCTGGGGCATGATAGGAGGGATTCGCGCAGTAAATTGGGAGACTGGTGGCCACAATGAAGTGCGATGGGTGATGGAGAATTGTAGTCGAAATTTGCTGTGCGTCGACAACCGAGCAGTGTCTGATTCAGAATCAGCACAAAGGGAAGATAGTCCATGTGGCAAATTATGTGCATAATGGACTTGATAACATGTAATATATCAGAAAGCAATATGAATTAGACACGAGGTAGTTTACCAGTGTGGCGCCTGGACCATATCAATATCCAGCGATGCAAAGACCCTAAATCATGAAAGATGAGTAAAAAGGTCACAAGGCACAACATAATTTGAGCGCACTGTTTCGAAAGTAACAAGCGATGACAAAATTTTGATGTGGTGCTGTGATATTAGGCAGGCTATTAAGCATTGAGGCCGTCAATGCATCACATTTACGTGGAGTCTGAATCTGAATCAAGGTTGAATAATAGCTACCATCAGTCCATGATTCAGGTTCATCCTAGAGGCAATGTTGAATCAATTCAGAGTCTTGCCAAGGACTCGATGTAACAGTTACAGTGAAGGTTAAACATTTGAATCAAGGTTCTGAATCGGCAATGGATGTTGGAACCAAATTGGAACCAATGGACTTGGCCGAAAATATGATGTCAGCTTATCACATAATGCTGTAACTGTCATGCTCACTGTTGCAGTTATTATTACTGTGATATTTGAATTGATTTAAAGGAGAGTCATTGAAGAACTAATAGAACGAACGTCAGTTCACGAACTGGACCTTGTCAAGGACATACAATAATCGGGGGTAAGGGTGAGTTAATTTTAAAAGTCTAAGGACAATAATTTAAAGTTCTTCCTCCCCAGTCAAGAATTCCTGCTCAATGATGATAGCCTAGGCATCGGTGATACACTCGATAGTCTCAGGGTATTACGGGTAATGCTTAAGTTTATGGCTAAAGAGCAACCAAGCAAAATTGGTGTGCATACCCTTATCACAGCTGATGATTCAGAGCTCATTGGAGATCTGGGCGATCTGACAATCCTTGATGTAAGTGTCGATGAGAAGTGAGCACATCTCGGAGTAAATGTTCTCCATCGTTATTTGGAAGCCATAGAAGCACCGAACCTCAGTAGCCTTGGAGAAATGTTGTCCAATGAGGTTCTCATTAACAAGGGAGGAATATTAACATTTACCTTTTCGCCACATAGATCAACTGCTTCTCTCAACTCTGCATCTCCGTCTGCGTCACCTTTGCCATCTGCATCTGGATCCATGTTGGGGCATTCCATTGTGATCCCAATGCACACTCTCAACTGGTAGGGGTCCCCTGTCAATGAATCACTAGCGCGACATTTCTTGGCTCATGCGAAGTGACAAAACGACAATGTAAAAAGGACGTAGTATGCATGCGAAAATGAAAGTGTTAGGGTGTGAAGTGTGTAAGTGTAGGGGGAGGGTTGAAAGGAAAAAGTAAATGCCAAATGCAAGGCAGGAATGAAACATGCAAACAAAAGGGAGATGTAGGAGGGATGAACCATGGACCTCCTCTCATCCTAACTCCCCAATCCTTCAATCTCCTCGTGTTCGGTTGCTTTCGCATTAGCACTTGCCTGCATGGATTGGGGCTGAATGCCAGGCGTTCGAGGGTGCTTGAAGGTGTGTGCGGATCGCGTGGCAACAGCGTGAGGGCGTGAACAGGTGCGGGCATGAAGTTTCATGAGGGCGTAGGTGCTATGTAGCGTGGGGTGCATGAGGTTGGGTGAAGGTGTGAATGATGGCATGCGCAAAAAGGATAAGGGCGATGGTAGATGAGTGACAAACCTCTGCCAGTGTCTGAATCCTTATAGTATGAGTATGCGTTTGTAATCAGATGATGACCCATATAGACTGGTTGACAGAGTGTCTGTGAACGCAGCTATGGCCATGACCAAGAAGGCAGTCATTGTAGACCTACGGAACTGATGAAACACACTGCATTACGGATATCATGTACACTTAGTATAAATAGGACAAATCATGAGAATCGTACATGTCAAACAGCCACCTTGCCCTTCTTCGCTATTTTGATGCCCAGCTTGTTCTTCAAATCTGATTTCGGCTTCTTCGCGGGCGGCACACCAACAGATTTGGCATCTAGTAATACTCGCATCGATTCTGGAAGAAGACTGTGCAGATCAGGCTCGATGTCATCAGCCTTCCGCTTGATAGTGACCAGTTGTGGCGCAGTCGGTTCAATGGATGTATCTCTAGAACTCTCCGCTGCCACAGGAGAGCTACCTGATAGTGCGGGCATCAACACCTTGGAAAACACCTCCCTCACCAGCCTCTCATCCTCTTCTTCTGCGAGTCTCCGCTCCCTGTCCTCTTCTGTTTCCTCCTCCTCCGCAGTCAATCAAGCAACCAGATCCACTGCTTGCCCCACACGTTCATTCTGTGTGTTCCGTGCCCGAATGTCTTGGAGAGCATCTAAGATATCCATCTCCCGTTTTGCATCGACAGTGCGGTTCTCTAGTAACCTATTAATAACCAGCCTTTGTACAAATTTCCTTCATTCAAAAGAATATATCTGTGTCAGTCGTATCAACAACCAAGAACTCGTTCGCTCTGGTACTATCCTCTGCCAATACACAACCCTGGATTATTGACTGGACTGAAAAGCACTCAGCAGAGGCTCTGGGCTTTGCCTTGACTCGCCAAAATTTGAAGTCTTTATCCTTCCGTGGTCGAGTGCCCACCGGTTGATTGTATGGGAGTGTGAGTGCAATAGGATATGCGACATCCCCAACTGTGCAGGTGAAGACTAAAAACAGTTTGGCGAAGATAGGACCAGATTCTGCCTGCAGGATGACACAATCGTATCGAGGTGATCCATGGAACATTGGATTACATCGGAGATAGTCCATGGAACTTCGCCAGTCAACGAGTGACTCGTAGCTGACTTTAATAAATCTGAACTTGGTTATCTGAGCAAGGGTGAGATATTATCAGTAATGTCATTTGAGGGCTGCAGATGTTCAATGCACCATGTCATTCACAGCAAGTTGGATGCGTCTTCCATTGGGAAATGGTATGTCGTTAGTGGTGAATGCACAATTCAAAAATTCATTTAGTTTGATCCGGAATTGATCAAAGGCTGCATCACCTGCGTTAGTTGCTTCGATATCCGCAAATGATTTGGTTGCCTGCTGCGAACCAAGACTAAAATGCTGTATATCAGTTGGTTCATCGGTTGATTCGAGCCCATCTGAATCAACCTCTGATGGATCAGGCACAACTAATGAACCGAGATTCTGCACATCGAGGCACTCCATCTTGCTACGAATATATTCCGCAACTAAGCTGTCATTGTTGTATCGTAGAATCTTTAAAATATGTTGCTCCATCAGCACTCAGTTCACATTGTATCTAAGAAGCCACTAGTGCGTTACCTGTTCTGCGAAATTCTTGAAGTTTGTACAATCTTGATAAGCATCCTTCAGTGGGCCATGCATTTTCTCATTCAGCTTCGTATTGTAGTTTCGGGTGATGCCCTTTGCCTCAATGTCATTGAAGAGATGAGCGGAAAGATGCATCTTGGGAAAATTCCAAGACTTCTCTGAGAGGTCTGCTGTATATTTGATATATATCTGACTCATAAGTCTGAATTAGTAGCATCAATTGACAATATACACAACAAAACATACATCCATAAGTTCCGTAAGCTCCAACAACGTATTTCGGCCATCCCTGATCGTATCCTCGGTGTGGACCTCTAGCAATGCACATGTGTTGAATTCCACATAACTCCGAATACAACGAAGCAGGAGATAAGCCTGTGGATCCAGATCACGCTTAAATACATTATGGGCAGCGAAAACGATCAGCTATTAAATAACGTGAATAATTGATCTAAAGCTTGATAAACAAATTGAATACACATACCTTCGATATATCTTCATATTTTGTTCCATCAGAAAAGGATATTGATACCACCTGGTCAAAGTGATTCAAATTTCGCCAACGCGGAAATGATTCGAAGCTGGCAATGTAAATTATCATCTACCTACTACAGACAAAAAAAAATACTTGCAAAGCGTCAATTACCACTGCAACTTGTCGACCAGAATTAGTGATCCATTTTTGCAATTCCGTCCACAGGTGATCTAACTTTCCCTTGTCATTAAAGTGAAGTTTGTCGAATGATAGAGCTCGGTAGACATTGGTGCGCTCCATGGTGTCAAATGCACTCTGACAGTGACAGTGATAAACAAAACAAAATCGAGGTGAAAGACTTACATCGACATCACGGAGGCTCTCTGAGCTCAATACCTGCTCTCTTGCTTCCAATGTTGTAGACTCTCAGGCCTGAGCACATAATGCCTTTGCATCTTCAGACGTGCGAAATTGATATGCATTTAATCCCTTGGAGAGTTCCTCACGAGGAACGAGGCAGACAGGGCAAGGAAACTTTCCCATTAGACCACGAATCAATGCCATCACGACCCTGTAATACTTTCAGGTTCAGATATTACCTGGTAACATTGAGATCACTCACTGTTCTTCATAGTCCGCAGAGAGTATGAGTATGATTGGATAGAAAATGCGGACAACATCGTCCCAACATTTAACAGAAGAGCCGAGCCTCAACAGCGGTGCGAGACAAGTGAGCAGCTTCAAAAATGATGTATGCCACATGGCATTTTTGAAATTAACGAAGGCAGGCTTTCCGGAATGTTTCTTGTCTTCTTTTACCTATCGAAGTGCCGGTATTAGTTAGTAATAGCACGATCATCGAGTAAATCAAAAGCTAACAATGGGTAACCAACCCACAACTCGCCCGCCACCCAAGCCCTCACCATTACGAACAGCAACAGGAAGATTAGCGCACCGCACAACTACCGGATAACCTTTTGCACGACCGAAGGATGATAATTTGGCCTTGTCTGCGTAGAGGATAAATGCAAGTGGTTTAGCATCTGATGGTATCTTCAACTGTTATGAGACTCAATTATTAGTATACCGTAATGCACATTGAACTCATATCACAAATGATAGCACCACATACCTGATATTCCCAGAAGGCATCAGCAGTCCAAGGCTCGTGAATATACTGAATGAATTTCTCGCCATCGAACTTTGAAAGCTGTTGGGCATCGAAAACGAAATGCGGACCAACTTCAGGATCCTGAAGTAAGTCCACAGCCCAGTCCCATAGCGAGCAATGAAAAAACGGAAAGGTCTGGTCAACGCCTCGGAAGGGCACAACAACCTCTTCCTTCGTAAACTATAATATGGTATTCAAAGTAAGGATATATTCTACACTCAAAGTGATTGAATACAAACGGGAGTCAATTTGAACGAGGCTGCGTCCCACATGTCTCGCACATCTTTATGATTCCGAAGCGTAAACAACTCACATCTACTGCGATGAATAAGTCTGATGAACTGGTCTGTCTGCTCATGAGTTAGCGCAGCTTCATGAGCAAGTTCGGCCACTTCAAAGTCAATACAAGTGCGAAATGGATACCAGGGCTCAGGATCGACTTTCGGAGGCACTGCTGGAGCACCAGGGCCACATCTATAATCCTCGAAGTGGTAGACTTGTGTAGGGCACCCACTGTTGGGGTGATACCGGACTTGGATATCATCAACTTCGAATTGAGATACAGGTGATGCCGTTCTGGACGGTGGCAGATGATCTAAAATACCGATGAAAGTTGCAAGCTTGGACGCACAGAAAAATTGTTGAGACATACCAGGTTCAGATGTATCATCTGGATGATGTATTGGACCACTGAAGTTGATATCAATGTCCTGCAAATGATCGAGGATAGCTTATCAATGGCTGAATGAGTTAGGATCAGTGATTCAGGTCGTGAGACAATCACGACTCACTAAAAGCAGATGGTCGTTCGCCAACAAAAACGCTACCTTGCTGCGCATGTTCTCTCTCTACAATGTGTTGACATTTAGTATTTTAGTGTGAAGCCGTAATGTTTGAAACAATGAACATACCTTGTCGAATAAGCCTCGCAAGCTCAACGTCCTCTCTTCTTTGTTTGTATCGCTTCCGGCAAGCATTCTCGTGCATTCAGAATCCTTGACGATGGTATTGTGTGTTACAATACGAACACGTCCAGAGTGTGGGGTCAGGAGGCATCGAGATCGGTTTTGATTCAGTGGCAAGTCCAAGACACCTGGTAAAATTCGTTGAAGGTCTTATTCATTATCTTATTAGGCCTGGGGTAACTTAAATACTATTGAAAATGGGGGGAGACTCACCTTTTTCCGAGTCTTCACAGAGTCTGATGGAGAAATGCTGGATTCAGACAGCAGAAAATTGAGTGTCTAATAAGCTCTGAGGGTCTGGATATTCGTCGGTCTAATATTAATACTAAAAATCAGTCTAATAAGACTCGATGACTGTAATAACGCACCTTGTAGACTATTATAATTGTGCAATTTGACAGTCAAATCCGTCTGAGGTGTCGTTGTGTCAAAAAGTAGGATCCAGGGAGCTGAAAGGATGGTGGTAGGAAGCAACACTGTAACAGCACACATACTACAGTGACCAAACTCCATCTTAGATGGGCCAGCCAAGGGACATAATACACCGTCTTAGACGGGTTAGCGGACCATGGGCCGATGTAATAATATCCTCATTGAAGATGGGTGGGCCGAGAGGCAAATTATTCCCGATGGAGATGGGTGGGCCCATCTAGGTAATATCTAGAGTAGAATACAGTAGATGAGTTGGCCGAGGGAGATGGATCATAAAGATGAGTGGGCTGAGGTATTAGTATATTATATGGATGGATGGGCCGAGGTGGATGTGAATCATATGGATGGATGTGGCAAGATAAATGTATCATATAGACGGATGGGCCGGGATAGTGGTATATCATATGGATGGATGGGCCGAGGTAGATGTATATCTTGTAGATGGGTGGGCCGAGGGAGATGAACATCATATGTACCAATGGGCCGAGATCAATGTATATCGTATATGGGTGGGCCAAGGTAAGACATATATCATATAGACGGATGGGCCGAGATAGATGGATCTCATATGTATATGAGATGAAAGGGTGGGCCAAGGTGAATGAATATTGTATACACCGGTAGGCCAAGGTGGATGTGTAAAGTATGTATGGGTGGACCGAGATGAATGAATGCTGTGAGGATGGATGGGTTGAAGTGGTGGTAAATCAGACCGATCGGTTAGATGGTGTAGGTGCATCAATGATTATTGAGGATGGAGGATCGAGTAGCAAGAACCGTCATATAAATGAGTATCGAGTATGGCAAACAGAGCACCGAGTACCGAGTATTGAGTACTGAGGATCAGGGATGGTGACCTGGGCAACGAGGATCAAGTACCGAAGGACGGAGTACTGAGACCTCAGAACTGAGTACTGAGTATGGCCAATGGAGTACCGTGAACCGAATACTAAGTACCTAGGATCGGGGATGGCGAATTGGGGAGCGAGGATCAAGTACCGAGGGTCGAGTACCAAGACCTCAGAACCGAGTACCAAGGATTGAGAATGGCGACCCACGACCCGGATGGTGAGTACTGAGAATTGAGTACCGAGTACCAAGGGTTGGGGATGGCAGCCCAGGCACCGAGTATCGAGTACCAAGGACCGAGGACCGAGAGCTGAGGACTGAGTACCGAGGATCTGGGAGGATGGCAAACCGGGCACCGAGTATTGAGTACTGAGTACATGTACCAAGGGCCGAACCAAGTACTGAGTACCAAGGACTAAGCGCTGACGAACATCAGGTATCAAGGTCGGAGGGCCGAGGATCGAAAGCCGAAAGGCAAAGACTGAGTACCGAGCACCGATATGCTTGGGACTCGGTCCTTGGGACTCATTGCTACATGTGCAGGGCTCACAGGTTTGCACAATGGTGGGTATGCTGTACTGATTGCTGAGTACTCTACAATTCTACGGTACAAATAATTCACAATATTCGCAGTATAGTACAATGGATCATGGTATATCTACATTTCCATCACGGCATCCTGCTCATCACCGGAATCATATTCTGGAAGAAGGTTGAGGGGCGACCCACGCTCAACAATCTCACCGGTGCTCGGGCCATCCTCGGGAGTCTCCAATGGGGTGGGGTTCATTGCCGGGGGGGCCAGAAGTGCGAAAGCCGATGCGAAGGTGGAGGCGCCATCATTGGCCGGGCTGTGAACTGGATCAATGGGAACTGTCGATGCAATGGCAGGAGCAGGGTCCAATGCCGCTTCAGTCTGAGAGGGCGGGATTGTTGGCTCCATTACTGGGGCAACAATGGTGGAGGCTTCCTCACCTGTCGAGTTGGTGCTGAAGTCGATGAGTGGCAGCGGTGCCAAGTGGACGTGGGACTGCGACCCGGGAGTGGCTTGATCCATGAGTAGAGAGGAGGGTTCGGTGGGAGGAGACTCTGGGAGGGGGAATGACGGATGTCGCTGCATGATCTCACGTCGGAGGCTCTCATGCAGCCTTTGGAGCATATCAATTGTGCTCTCCTGTTCAGAGGCACATGCCTCCAGAGCTGCGATGTGATTCGTGCTCTCGCGAATCGCGATCAACATCCAGTGGAGGTCCAGGATCAGGAAGTCCTGGGCTGCATGGGGGGCAGCCGAACTCGATGATGCAATGACTGGAATCAAATCAATAACAGCAAAAGTTGCATTAATTGAAGTTACTTACCAGCTGCAGGGGGGATGGGCATCGTCACTGAGCCTGTGGGCTTGCTTCGGCCCTGGGACCATGGCTTGGGGGGGTTGCCCCAGGGCTCACTCGGAGCTACCGACGGCCCCCGGGATTGACTTCGGGTCTGCACCTTCGACTGGGAGGTCAATGGGCCTGTCAATGAGGCCCTCGTCCACTCAGTAGACCACCCTCGTGTGGTGGCAGCAAGGGTCCTGAGATGTGCTGAGATGCACTTCACTTTCTTCGTCATGCACAGGACACACGACATAAGGGCTGTGCCCTTTTGCTTATTGAACCTGGTGGTGCATGGCAGCTCATACTGCATGCAACACCTGCATGGGTTGTTCTGCAGGAGATGGTCAGTCAGTCGGGACAGCAAAAAATATCTTGGTGGTACTCACCAGTCCGGGAATGAGAATGGCCCCAGCGTCCACAACCGGGGGCACATCCCTTGGGCTCTCGGAAGTCACTTGAGACGACTCGGGGATGTCAGGGCGCATGAGCGGAGGTGTCTGCAAGCTATGGCTCGGGAGTTCCGGCCTTTTGGGTCATATCATGACGAGGGATGTGAGTATTAATTGCAGGTCTATGTCAGCACGTCGTTCTCATTGCTATCGTAGTGCAGAATCTTCAAGCCCGACTGGCCGACTTCACAACTACTCACGGAAACCTTCCAGAGCCATCCATACCGCAGCTCCTGGAGGCAGAGCAACCATTTCGAACTGCTTGGGCGGAGACATCCGACAAGCTGGCACGGGCCGATTGGGAGCTTCGAAGGATGCAGAGGGCTGAGCGGGCAAGCATCGAAATGCTCAAAGTCATAGATTCACTGATTCAACGGTTTGAGACCCAAATTCACCAGGGTCAAAGTAGGATACCTGAAGATGTAGATAGCACACAACCGTAATCCTTATATTAGTGTACGATCATCATATGTGACTTCCACCAGACACATGGAATAGGAGATTCACTTTGACTTCGCAACTGGGCACAATTGAATAACAATACTTTGACCGACAACTGAGATCTCGATCCTCTGTGCGTTAAAGTGTGATCGTCGAGCATCGGTTACCAAGTACCGATGCCCAAGCCCGAATGATCACAAAAACAACCGTTGACGATGAAGTCTTGTATGCCAATTGCCGAGTGCTGCCGGGCTTCGGCAGTCAATCATCAGTCATTAGATAATGAGACTCGTTGGACGATGACTCATCTGATCCCCCGGTTGAGACTGGTTTCATCATGTTGCCGACTTTGTTCTTCCATGCTTTGAACAGGAAGATTGGATCATTACCATTCTCCTGGCGAGCATACCAGAAGTTCAGCAAGGCGGTTGCATCGGAGTGTTGCAACTTTGAAGGGTCCTTCAAATGCACCCTGCTCGGAAGATACATCAGTGATATGAAGTCATCCTCACATTCTATGATGGCACTCCAAGGGACGACGGCCTTGTCGATGCCAGAACAGAGTCCTGGGCACATCCAGTCAACTGATTCTCGCAGGATGTTGCACATGCAGACTCACGGTAGTGTGTTGTAAGGAACACCCTCACTATTGCCTTCTTCTCCTCGAGCTTTGTTTGCACAGTGTCCGGAAGCGATGGGATGCCTTCCCCGTTCACCTCCAGTTCGAAGGCCGGTTTCCTAGGTCTTTTTTGATGTCCCTTCTCCTGTCGTTCGCCATCCCTTGCCTCAGCACCTATCACAGGAACCATCAATGTCACCCTCCACATCCCAATAGCTGTAACACTCACTGAACTGTGCTTGTGCATACTCCTGCCACATTGGTTTGATATCCTCCCAGTCCTTTGTCTTCATGAAGCTGTCCCTGTCTCCCAATGCCTCATTATCGTCGTGCCTATGGGAAATCTGTTGAGATATCAGGTCTAGGATGACATTTGCAATGCACTCACGTTCCAGGTAGCACTTGGCCCTGCTCATTCTTCCAGGCGGACAATACAAACACTCTCATCCTGCATTGTCTCCACATCTCATTGGAGAAGTGCTCCATGTATGCGGGTCCCTTCTTACCGGCGACTTGCACTTGGATCTCGGGAGGAGGAATGTTGTTGGACCATTTGTCGGCTGTTTCTTTCGCCTTCTCCAACTCTTCATCAGACAATTCTTCCATCACCTTCCAGACGGTCGCCTGGTAATACTTGAACATATCCGGAGCTCCTTGCTTTGCCCCGTATTCCACCTCAATCCTCTTGAGCACGTCATCTCTGTTCTGCTGATAGACCACCATCCTAGGGGTCCATTTCCTCCCAAACTTTATCATGTCCTTCGTTTCCTTCTTTTTCTTGTTGTTGAACAACCAGGTTTTATAGATCTGAGCGAACAACAAACAATCAGTGTTGAAAACATTGAGGTTTCAACCTCCATGGATGCATCACCTGCTTCCTCTTTTTCCATTGTCCATGGTTGAGCTTCGGAGAAAACAACCTTGCTGCTCGAGCTATGGCTGTGAATATTCCTGGTTTCTCGTACCGTTTTGCAGCAGTCCACTCAGGAAGGTAGTTTTTGAGTTCTAAGATCTCTTGTTCCGTGAGCTTTTGTCTCAGTTGTAAACATCGTCCATGTCTTCTGTCCGAGACGTGAATGGAATCCCCCGATCTAGCCATGGTAAAATGGAGTGCAGGATGCACGTATGAGAGGCAACATTGAAGAAATAATTGTCCTGAGTTCAAATCTGAGCAAACCTTACATCTTGGTTCATCAATGAATTTCGGACGCACTGCCTTGCATCCAAATGAATTTTTAATAAGCCTACAACAAGACTGGATGACCCCATAATGGAATCACAAATTGTTTGACCTCCCTCAGCGAAACTTCAGCCAATGACATCAGAAGTAAGATGAAGATCACTCAATCGACCCCTGTGCAGAAATCATACAGGGTGGAAGCAAGGGGCAGGAAAGGTAGGAAGACATGGGTCAAGGTCCCACTGGCTAGCGCAATGAAACGTGCCAGCAGGTGCATGCCTCCATCCCCCCCGGAATCACTGACACTCGATCCTGCTCAGGCTCTGCCTTTGTGGGAAGACATTGCCGATGATGCGTATGAGCTCAACGAAGGATCATTTGAGCCCTTGCACCTGCCGAAAACCATGGCAAGTTCATTGAAGATGTTGCATGGTCAATCGGAACATGGCTGAATGAATTTAATGCAGAGTCAGAACGATTACCTTAGGCAATGGCTGCCAAAGCAGGAATCATATCTCCATCACCTCCTTGATCGAGAAGCTCCCCCGGCAAATAGGAGGTGCTCCATCTGTGATCAGGATGGGGTATACAAATGTCAAGATTGTCTTGGGGAGCCGCTGTATTGCACAGGCTGCTGCAGGAGTCAACATCAATGCAATCCCTTCCACTGGATCAGTCAGTGGAATGGTCAGTTCTTCGAGCAAAGTTGTCTCGCTCATGTCGGACTTGTGATACACCTCGGTCATGAGGGAAAGCAATGTCCGGTTCTCATGGATAAGTGGGATTTGTTTTAAGAAGATGAATCCGACGACCACATTGAACCGGAAGATTTACCATCTGTCTCGGGCCCCTGAGTTCCAGCCGAAGGACAATACCATGGTCATCGTCGACAGGTCCGGAGTCCACTGGCTTGAGGTGCGATGCTGCGGCTGTCCTGATGCAATGAGTCTGGACATTCAAATGTTTTGACACAGCTTGTTCACTGCATCTTTCAACAGGCTGAAGACCTTGTTCACATTCAGCGTTCTCGATGATTTTCTGCTGGACAACCTTGAATGTGGCACCTCGGCAATGAATTATTACAACAAGCTTCGGCGAATGACCTCAAGCACATTTCCACACCTCGTGCTGATAGGGGACAGTCTATACCTTCTAAGGATGTTTATACTCACAGCGGACGTGGGCAGGATCGATACCAAGAGCTCATGAGGGTCTCCCAGCAGTGGCAACACTTGAAAAACATGAAGTGGCATGGCTTCAGCCATCATTCCAACCACCGCAAGCCAGGGGACCTAGCATTGTTCTGCCCAGCATGTCCTCAGCCTGGCATTAATCTATCTCTGACTACAGAAGAATCACTTGATGAGTGAGTTGTCGTGAATATGCAATCAAGGATGAGGATATTAACAACTTCAAGCTGGAAATACACCAGGTCGTTCATGATGGATGGGAACTTCAAAGCGGAACACCTGCATCCAATCAACCCGGACGATGAAGTATGGTTGTCCGATGGATTTGGATTTATGGTTGGAAAGGACAGGTACCAGAGGCATCTTGCAGTAGCTACCGATACTTTGGAAAGGTCAAGCTGCAACAACCATCGAGCTGTCAATCAAGCGAATGCGGCTTGGCACAAGCTGGAGTCCACCGGGATCAGGGGGGTGGCCTGTGCCTGACACGGCTGTTTTGTTCCCCACTCGATCGTAGATTTTCAGAAAGGCGAGAGGTCAGTGAAAATCACCATTCCATGGCCTGGAAGTAACCATGAATTGATTTCAGACAGATGAACATGGATTATGCCCTATGTGAAGCTGTGGCATACAACATGAAATGCATCACCAGGGCCGTCACCTTCTACGACATCAACTGTCAATACAACAAGCATCTTTGCACTCGGGTCGATTGAGGTCCATTCTTGACAATGGTTCCAGAGCTGACCATAGTTCCCAGAATTGGGCTTTGGCATATCCATGGACATCAGGACAGCTGCTATGTGAGATATACGTCGAACTTCATCAAAGGCATAGGTCGCATTGATGGAGAGATCATGGAGACCCTGTGGGCCCCTGTTAGGTACTGTGCCGGCTCAAGAGGCAGAGGGGTCGGGGCTTGGCTTCAGCTCTTGCGCTGCGCCCTTAGCCGAGTACGTGCCCCGAATTTGGAGCGGGTCTGACGTTGTCCAATGATAGGACGAATGGACCGCTTCAGTCCGCTTTGAGGGTCAGGGAGTAAGAGCTGCTAGCGGCAGGCCAACTAGGAGCGGAGCAGAGAAGACGGGGGTTGATGTGGAGGGTGGATAGGAGCAATGGGAATGTTTGGCAGAGGTGGAGAAGGTGGGGGATGATGCAGAGGGACAAGGGAGAATATTGGATAGGGGCGGAGTATATGGAAAAGACTTAGAGCATGGCTCTAAGTCGGAATGGGGGATCGGAGGGTCGGAGGTGACGACAAGTTGAGACTTGTGTCCAGAGGGGGCAAGGTCCTACTGAGAATTCTCACAAGTAGTAACTGCGAGAAGACAAGTAATATTAAGACTAAGGAAAAGTATCTAAGTACAGGATATGTTATATACTTCTATGTGAGGCAGTGATCAGGATAACTATGTAGTAAAGCTATGTACCAAGGATATAGTTTGTAAGTACTTGACATAGGCGAAGACATAAGTCGGAGCGGATATCAATATGTACGCGTCAGATCAGCGATTGGGCGGTAATAGGAATTACCGGTGATCCGGAAGTAAGAGTCTATGTACTGAAGGGGAAAGTATATGTCTAAAAGGGGAAAGGGATCCAGTTGAATGGAGAGGTTTATGGAAGGGGACCGGTTGAGTGGTAGCATAGGGTGGAATGTGGGTTTTGTGATAGAGTGGAGTGGAGGATGGATGGGGTGGAGGGGGTCGGACAGCGGGGCGGATATCAGTATCAGAGCGGTCGGATCTGGCATGTGACAGCCCCCCTCAACCTCATATCTCCTTCCGCTCGGGGAATGTCGTCGCCACATAGAAGAGAATGTCTAGATTTTCAGATGAACGATTCCAATTTTTGCAAGATGATTCACATGAAAAGGACGCTCTGCCGGAAATTCAAAGGGGCGAAGTGTGGCATTGCCGAAAGTGGGAAGGCATTTGATAGACTCGATGAGGGGGCACCAGAACATTTGAAGACTGTGTGGTTGGCAAGTGAAAGAGTCACACAGTCGAACAGAATACATGATCCCACTGCAATGGACATATATAAGATCAATATCTGGAAGGGTGAGATCATTCCATGGACATCAAAGCGGTTGAACTTATGGCGCCTGCAGCACCGAGCAAGAAGGAGATTGAGCTGAGATTACTGGAGGAGAATGATGCTCATCATGCATCACCTTCCCGCCAATCAGTCGCAACATGGATATCCATGGGATTGGCGATCGAAGAAGCTCAGATCGCATTGCTCATCGAGGTCTGGAGAATCAGACAAAGACCTACCAAGACACAGAGATTAGACATCGCCCGTCAATGTGATCGGGTGCAGGGACAGATCGATGGATTCACTTGGTCCGCTCTCCTGCATTTCGGAGATGGATTCAATAGTGATGAAGATCCGGAGGACTTGAGTTGTGCAATTCTCGATGATCTTGACGATGGCCCAGATGAGTTCACCGAGACTCTTGATACCTACCCAAACACACCCGAGCTCACTGTCATCCCATTTCCATCCAATGTCGGGCTGGACCGACTCCAACACTGCTTAGCAGAGGATCTGATTCTGCTCGAGATATCGCTTTGTGAAGGACAGGCCAATGATGCCCTTCATAATCTCCGAATACACTTGTGCAACAAGGCGGTCCTTTTCCGAACCACCGTTAGGCAGGCAAAGTCGCAAGCTTTGAAGACTCAGGCATGGTCCCAGGTGATGTCGGTTCAGCAAGCCGTGTCTCTGAATGCCAGTATATACAACAGGACAAGGAAGCAAATGATGAAACTTGGTCCGGGGCAGTACCAGCTTCAGAAATACCAACCTCTGCTCCGAGAACAGCTCAAGATCAGCACTGCAGTTGGTGATCCAAATGCCCAAGGTCAGCGGAACGAGTCCCTTGCCTGGTTCTGGTCTCTCAACATTGATTTATTGGGGCCGAGTGAGTTGTGGAATGACAAATGTGAGTTCGGGCATACTTTCCAAATGCAAGGATGATCTGACCCAACCAGCGTGAAGTTTACCGAGTTCATTGGCTTCGGGCGAAGGCTCTGAGGGATCGATGGATTGAAGAACTTACGGTGGTGGAACTGGAGATGGACTGGACATGCAACTTCTTCTTGCGCAAAGCAGCCCAATGGGATGCACATATGAGGGAGTCATCAGACAGCCGGCTTCGGGGTCATGCCTGCTATGCAGCAAGACAATCCCGAATGTACTCATTGCTTGCACAGGATGCGCAGGCTGCTTTTCAGGATCTTACAATGATGCCAATATATCCCGAAGATGAGTGAATATTAACCACCATGGATTTCCAGTATACATCCTAGTAATGTGAATCATTGTGTGGCCCGGTGTTCGGGTGTGTCATGGGAATGATGGTGGAGTTTGAAAATGTCATCCATCCATCAGCTGCCTGTATATCTACACCCTGAACCACTGTCATTGTTATTGCCACTCGTACTTTGACACCCTGAACTACTGTTATTCTTATTTCCATTGTGTCTACTCTTCCATCGGACATGTCTGACTTGCATCCAAGTGGTACATCAACTTCTGCCAGCCAAGATAGAGATCTGCCCTGTCAGCCGATCACTCTCAGCACCGCAGATATTGCAGCTACATTGGCGATGGCTGCATCACGTATCCGAGCATGTGTTGCTCAATATCAGAAAGAGGCAGCTGAAGTGGATTTGCCGTGCACACGAATCACCCACTTCAAAACTGGGCTTCCATGGGAGATCTCGGTGAGCAGTGAATGATGTCTACGTTGTAGTCAATTCTGACATCGCCGACAGACCTTTGTGACACCGGTCCTGCAGTACTCAGCTGCACACAACATCATTTTGGTCATGCCAATCCCCATCGCTCATCTGCTGCTCTTGATCCCGCAGCAAACCTGGACTGAGGTTCTGGACCATGTCTTCGCAGCTCATCTGGGTCGGCTTCAAGATTGCACAGCTCCCGGCGATCCCTCGCACATCATTCCAGAGTATGATACTCCGTGGTGGATGGGGCACACCACCATTCCGAACGAACCTTGGTGATGGAATCGGGCCATGGAGTGTTGTGGATTCCACTATGAGCACTGGCTGGTAAGCACCGAGGAACATTTTAATTACAGTTGATGAATCGAAACATCCAGGGCGGTGTTGAGGATGATGGTCTGATTCTTCCGGAGACAGTGGATCAAACCTCCATCCCATCTCTTATGGGACTTTGGTGGATTTGAGAACGATTAGTGACATTGATCGAAGAACAGCGGGAGGGCATCAGAGATAAGATGGGTGAGATACAAATGTACACTGGTATCCTCACCCGATTGCAGTGAGCCAGGGAGGTGTGCGGCAATGGATTGCAGGAATGATCGGGATCCATAGGAAGGCTGTTATGCTTCAGCATGCCAGCATGTATATACCGTAGACATATTCAAATGTACAGAATCACCGAGTCCCACATACAGAGTGAGCACCGAGGACCGACCCATCAGCACTTTTTACCGAGTACCGAGAGCCGAAGACTCCGGGTCCTGGGTCCCACTCCTTGGTACTGATGACTGGCATTGAATGCCTCCAGATTGAATTTCCGAGTGCTCGACGCTTGGTGCTTGGCAGTTGGTACTCGGCACTTGGCACTCATTAGTGCAGCCTCGCGTCTGATCACTCGGTCCTCGGTGCTCTGTCTTTACCGAGTACCAAGTACCAAGGACTCCCGGGTCCCGCTCCTCGGTAGTGAAGACTGGCACTGGTTGCCTCCTGAATGAACTTCCAAGTGCTCGAGACTTGGTGCTTGGCAGTTGGTGCTCGACGCTCGGCACTCATCAGTGCACCGTCAGGTCTGATTGCTCGGTCCTTGGTGCTCCGTCGTTACCGAGTACCGAGTAACGAGGACATCTGGGTCCTGGGTCCTGGGGCCCGATCCTCTGTACTGCACCTGGTGCTCATTACTGCAACCTCGGGTCTGAGGACTCGGTCCTCAGGGCTCCATCGTCAGTACTTGGTACTGAAGACTCGGTGAACTCTCTCCAGTAATCAGTCCATCCGCGGCATTCGGTCCATGATCCTGGAGATCCTGTCCTCAGTATGGATCATCAACTCTGTGATCCTACCTGGGATACTTGATATTCGGTATTCGGCCCTCGGTTCAATCACCGGTACTTGGTGCATCTTTGATACTCAATGTTTGGCACATAATACAGTGAATACTTCCTGTATTATACAGACACCCGAAGTTGAGATTCTGCCGAGTGAGACGGGCCATCCGAGACGGGCCCAGGTGTAGGTGTGCCCTGGTAGAGTCGATGGGCCGATAGGCATCAGGGTACCCGACCCTGACAAATGGGCCAGCTGTGTAGTATATGATAGCTAGCTATTGGAGATAAGGGAAAGTACATGATGATTGAAGCGGGCGGGCCCAGGGTGGAGATATGGATGGGCCCAGTGAGGTGGATAGGATCGTGAACTCAGTAGATAGGGATGGGCCCAGTTAGATGAATGGGATTGCGACTTCGGTAGATATGGATGGGCCCAGTTAGGTGGATAGGACTGCAAACTTGGTAGATAGGGATGGGCCCAGTGAGGTGGATAGGATTGTGAACTGGGTAGATAGGGATGGGCCTGGTGGGGTGAATAGGATTGTGACTTCAGTTAATATGGGCCCAGTTGGACGTATAGGATTGCGAACTCTGTAGATATGGATGGGCCCAGTTAGGTGGATAGGATTGTGAACTCAATAGATATGGATGGACCCAGTTAGGTGGATAGGATTGTGAACTCGGTAGATAGGGATGGGCCTGGTGAGGTGGATAGGATTATGAACTCGGTAGATAGGGACGGGCCCAGTGAGGTGGATCAGATTGCAAACTCGGTAGATAGGATTGTGAACTCGGTAGATAGGGATGGACCCAGTGAGGTGGATAGGAGTGTGAACTCGGTAGATAGGGACGGGCCCGGTGAGGTGGATCAGATTGTGAACTCAGTAGATAGGGATGGGCCCGGTGAGGTGGATAGGATTGTGAACTTGGTAGATATGGATGGGCCCAGTTAGGTGGATAGGATTGTGAACTCGGTAGATAGGGATGGGCCTGGTGAGGTGGATAGGATTATGAACTCGGTAGATTGGGATGGGCCCAGTTAGATGAATGGGATTGTGACTTCAGTAGATAGGGATGGGCCCAGTTAGGTGAATAGGATTGTGACCTTGGTAAATACGGATGGGCCCAGTGGGGTGGATTGGATTGTGAACTCGGTAGATACAGATGGGCCGAGTATGGTATGGTAGGTATATGCAATTCACAGCATGATACATACATCTCGGTAGACACAGATGGGCCAAGTATGGTATGCTATATGCATGGTATAGGATTCCAATCTCGGTGGACACGGGTGGGCCCACCAAGAGCTGATCAATGTGTACACCTAATATGTATGTATGCATAACTACCTAGACGAAAACAATCTACTTGAAGCCAATGCCGAGCATAGGTGAGCTCACTACCGAACATTGATGGCCTGGCAGGTATGATGGAACTGGTAAAAATCACCAAACCTGATGTAAAGTGGGCCATGAATCTACTACCAAGAACAACACAGACAATGAATGACTGGGAGGTAGGGCTGAACTGGGGAACCTGGCACACTTAGTTGAACTTGCAATGGAATTGCTACAAGACAGATAATAAAGATAAATGATACTGAAGTTACTGCTGGAGAATGCAGTGCTTATGGACAACCAGTAAATAGTGGGCAGAATTACATTTGTATGACGCTGGTCAATGAAAGGATGTATGAATATACATGATTAAACTAAAACTACCGGGCAACTACCAGACAACTACCGGTACACTACTTCTCGGACTTGTCGGGGGTGGAAGGGATGCTGGACAAATGAGAACCGCTCAGCAGAGTGGGAGAGCCAGCAGGAAAAACTGCGGAGGCAGAGGCGGTACCAGGGCCATGTGCTCCACTGGCTTTGGATGGATCCCAAATGGTGGTCCACTCTTTCCCCACTACCGAGATGCCCTGGTCCACCAATTGGATGGCCTCATGGGTACCCAGCGGTAGAGCGAGCCAAGCAGGGGGTATCGGGCCAAAGGGGTGGCCTTCAGGAGGAGCGTCGAGAGGCTGTCTGGCTCTCAAACCCCTGACGCTGTTGGCAACATGTCCGATGGACATGGTGTTGTCGGTGGTCTTGATTTCAACCTCCCGGAGCCTGTTCTCCATGAGGGCAAATCTGCTGCCCCAGTCTTGGTCCAAAGCAGTGACCCAAGAGTCCATCTGCTGATGGAAGGCCTCTGCACAATCGTCCGATGTCTTGAGCAAGGCATCGAACTTCTGGCTGAGGGCCTCGACACTCTTGAATATATCAAGAGCCGTCGGCTGTGTGACAGATGGGTTGGGGCCGACATCCTGCCGGGCTTCAGGGACATTTGGGCAGGTCGGAGGATTGTTGGGAGGAGCGAAGTCAACATTGACATCATTGTCAACAGTGGGGGTTGGTACCGGACTGGGCTGGGCTGGGAGCACGACGGCTGGGACTGAAGGATATTAATTAAGATTTATTGTGATGAGGGAATCGACTTACCATGTTCTGGATCATCATCACCCTCCACATCTGCATCATCTTCAGCAGTGAGTGCCTGGCGAATTCGGGAGGTGGCACGTGTGCTGACCGGTGCCCTCAACCAAGTTCTGTATTTTACCTGCATAGGGGGGGTGTTGTTCTTCGGGGTGCCATTCCGGGCCTTCTTCTCTGCGGCAGCAGCAGCCTTAACCCCTTTGAGGGCGACGGCAGCCCACAGAAGGCGCTGCTGCTCTGCGGACAGACGGACGCACTTGGTCTTCTTGCCATTGCAGTTGTGACAGCACTTCCGGACCTCACCGTTCTTCTTGCCCAGCATCACAGTGCAAGGGACGTCGTCCTTGATGCACTGCTCGCATTGGGTCGGGAAGAGGTGCATGGGGTGCGTGTCCTCGGCAGACTATGCAAAGTTAGGAAGATATTTTAGAATAAAACAAAAAACACTCACATCTTCATCGCTGACTGAGGGCGGTAGTGTCGCCGTCTTCCGGACCGCCGGCTCCATCTTGAGCTTCTTCAGCAATGGTGCGCGTACCACCACGATGACATCTCCTTCCGGTGCCGAAGGTTCAGCATCGGGAGTCGAGGCCTTGCGTTTTGTACCCAGCACAAAGAGATTGTGTTTGGGGGCGCGGGCAGGGGCAGGGGTGGGTGGTGGTGATGGTGTGGGTGTGGGAGAAGGGATGGGGGAGAGGGTCATCAACGCCTCTCAGGTCGATGTGGTAGCTGGTGGGACAGGTGAAGCCAGGCGAGCCTCCTGTGTCGATGGACCAGCTGGGCGGGTGTAGCTGACGGTCTTGTGGAAATGGGGGTGAACCCAGATGTGAGGGTCATCGTCCGAGATCTGCGTCCAGTCAGTTAGACCCCTCAGCTTACCATTCAGACCGCTGTTGTCCCGGATCTCGGCTGCGCAAGACAGAAGCCTTGGAGTGAAGGAAGTCGCAGCATTCCCATATTGGGCGAATGCACCAACCTGAAAAGAAGATCGACCGGGTCATCAAAAGTCAAAAATGAAAAAAAAGAGAAGACTTACCAAAGTGATGGCAATCTCATGTGCCAATGACTTGGCAGCCGCATCACCTTGCTTCAACTTTTCCGACCGGGTGATCAGCTGGGCAATCTTGTCAGAGACAAGGTCGAGAGCATCGTTGGCATCTTGAGTGGAAGACATTGTGAAAAATAAGCGGCAGGAGTAAAGTGTGGGTTCAGATTGTGAATGAAAAATTCAGAGGAAAATGTTGGAGCACAAGTTCAGATGAGGTATATATAGGAACAACCTTTGCGGCCACAGCATGCCCACGGGAATTGCCAGAACCGCGTGCCCATTGTTCTATCACCACCAATATATTGAATAATGCTACCATTGCCGCGGACCCACCAGTGGACCTTTCTGCCGTCCCTATTTAATTCGTCCTTCCTGAACCCGAGCACACATCTGCCAGACTGCACAATGTCAACCCGACGAGTGCATTTTTCGAGTCCTCTAGAAACTACTCAGCAACACGTGGCCTCGGCTGGTAAGTCATCCGCTGAAGTTCAATGCAAGGCATCCCTTGCAGAATGGTGGGGTGATTTTGTGCCCATAGACCAGTGGGAGCCCCCAAGGGTGTGGTCACAATTCCAGCACCTGCAATTTAGAAGTACATCCATTCATTTATCTTTTGATGTTCTTTGGGGGCAATGAGCTGACCAGATCTAGGATACGACATGAGTCCGGAGACTCGGATCGAGACTCTCGACAGCTGCATCGGAGATTTGACTCCCAATGAATATGAGCACTCTTTTGCCGGGGTGGAGGAGTCGATTCAGGAACTGGCTGGTAAGTCGTTATCGATGCTTCTACTGAACTCACCTAACATCACACAACTCAACAGCCATGTTTGACAAGTCCCGGGGCATGTCCGAACCATCAAAACCTGAACGGTCTGCAGACTTGGACAAAGAGGTCGACGGGCTGGTAGACGACAGTCCATCATACGATCTCGGGTGGAACGTCCCATCCGCTGCATCGTCCAGCAACCCATCTCCCTCGGTAGATGATAACACCGGAGGTAAGTGTTTTTGGTTAGTTCTTACTGTACACATATAATTGACAACATACAATGATGAAGATGACGGTGATGAAGAAGGCCCAGGGTATGATCTCGGGTGGGGCCCGAATGTGACTTCGGGTCAACCACCCGAAGTTGTGATGTACGAAGACAATGTGCCGGCATATGATCTCGGGTGGGGATTGACACATTCAGGTGAACAGCCCATTCAGCAAGATGTGATCGATGGTGCCGGCGATGGACATGGGTATGACCTCAGATGGGGACCAGCACCTGCTGGTGAACACTGGATGGAAGAAGAAGATGATGATGACGACAAACCCTCATACAATCTCGGGTGGGGGTCAACACCTGCGAGTGAACACCCGATGCAACAAGAGGTCGTTGATCTCACGGGTGAAGATGAACTGTCGTATGATCTCGGGTGGGGAGAACACCAAGGTATGTCTATGTCTTTCTTGTGGATCCCAATGCTTACCGGTGTTAGCAGTATGGTCAACAGCTTTGAGTCCGCTCAGCCCCATACCGGCCTCATTGGGCCCAATGGACTTGGACACCAACAATGGGGAGGGCCGCAGTTATGATGAAGCCAAGGATGCTATTCTCCGGGAGAACCACCGGCTGAAAGCCATCAGCAGCGACATGAGTATGCCCTTTCACCTCCTGATTGGTCACCGCAGATGATCTCACAGCTGACTGACATGTATACACCATCATCGAGAATGCAGTCCATGACCGCGATCTCTCTCAGGGACCGGCACAAATCCTCATGGACAATCGGCGCATCCTCGGGGGGTTCGCAGAGGCCCGGGATCGGGTGACCGCAGTTGGTATGGACATGTGCAGGCTCCACCACATGATCCAACTTCAACGCCAACTGTTGAAATCAGTGGACCAAGTCATCAAATCTCTGGAGAAGTCGGAGCAGTAGATAGGTTTCGGTTCGGTAGAATATATGTACATTTTGTTAGGGTCCGGAAGGAAGACCAACCATTGCAATAATACCCAGCGGTAATGCATTCATGTCCGGGAGAACAAAATATTAAGAGGGGTGACATTGTAATTGCTACTATACCCGCAATATACAGTACAAACAATATGCAAATGAGTCCAACAGCCTCAAGGGCGTCATCTGACTTCGGAAGTATCAAGACCGCACGAAGTTGGCAGCATATCTGGAGTTGGGTTTCTTGGATCTTTTCGGGAGAACATCTGTGGTCTTGCTGCATGTGCGTTTGGCAGGTGATCCTTCCAACTCATCTTCAGCAGCACGTTTCTTCCTGCATGGTCCGCCCAGCTTGTTTTTCTCGGTAGAGTGTTGCAAGACGACTGCCGGACCATCTTTCTGTCCACGACCAGGTTTGCGCCACAATGCACCACCAGGCTGAGATGCAGGCCCTACCCTCCTGGGTCAGTCCAAAGGAGTCGGCACTCCTCGGGAGGCAGATGGCTCATCTGTTGTGGGAGATGGTTTCTGTGGAGCTGTGGGGGCAACAAGCCTGTTGGTGGGAGCAGTGCCCTGCTTGCGAGCACAGGTCTTCATAACTGGGCAACTCTCTACCTCCGGAGCTTCATCCTCACCGCGTGTCTCCGCAACCTCCTTCCTAGGTCTCTTTGCCTTCTGTTTCACAGGTTCTTTGCACTTCCTGGTAGCTGGCCTTTCTTCATCTGAGGACTCATCCAGCAAATCTGGTTGATGAAACTTGTCCCCCGAGTCTGCAGGGTCAACCCAAGTTTTTGGCTGATGGGTTGTCTTTGCTGCCTGCTGCCTGGCTGGTTTGGCTGTCTTTGTCGGCCGGCCGTCCTCATCGTCATCAGAGCTGTCGGAAGGAATGATCGCCCGGAAAACAGACTTTCGCCTCGCCGATACCCTTGTCTTTGCTTTTCCTCCTGGATTCTCTTCGGCCTGTCCATCCACCGGTGCATCTGCCTCTGCCTCGGCAATAGGAGGTTTTACCTCCTTGTCGGCCTTGGTCCACCAGCCGTAGAACTCGAATGTGACGTCCCGGATGTTCTCCTGTGGGTTGTACCAGAAATCCAACAGTTCTGTCGCCTCCTCCCAGTTCATTCTTGATGGCTCCTGAAGTTTTCGTCCCTCTGGAAGGTACATCGGAGGGATGAGCTCTTCTTGCCTAGGTATCACCTCTTTCCAAGGTACTGGGTCCTTTGGCCTGCCGCTGCAGTCCTCTGCTCGCCCACATCAGATAATCCAAAGAGTCAAACAGATTGCCTCACGATAATGCCAATTTAGGAATGCTCGGATGACAGCCTTCCGCGTGTCTGAATCCATCTTGCCATGGTCTGGGAGGATGGGCAATCCATCGCATCCTATTTCGAGGACATATGTGTTGTCCTTCCTTCCCTTCCTTACCACAGCGTCATCCTCCACTTCCTTGTCTTGCAGATCCCGTACCGATCAGTCGTGTTTACTCCCGAACGATGCTTTGGATGCTCACCGAACTGTTTTGACACATATGACTCCCACTCCGGCAATATCACCTGCCAGTTGCCTATCTTGCTGAAACTTTCCCCATTGCCGAACTCGTCGTTGTAGTCATGACTGTCGGTTGTTGAGACATCTGGTTCTTCAGTCATACAGGTGTATTCACACACCTTGACACCAGGAGTTTTCCGTCCTCATTCTTCCAAGCCGACAGCATGAACAGCCGCATCCTGGCCTTCTTGAACATTTCGCTGGCCACATACCAGAGAATGTCGTCGCTCTTTTGTTTCGCCGTGTCAGCCTGAACCTCGGGTGGAACTCCTTGCTTGTTCCACTCCTCAGCCATCTTGGTCGCTTCCTCCACCTCCTTCTCGGTAAGAGAATTCACCATTTCTGCCAGATACTTGGCATAATGATTCATCATCTCGGGTTCGCCAGGCTTCACACTGGTCTCGTCCTCAATCTTCTTCAGCAGCTCCTTCTTCCTGAGAGACCCCACGACCACCTGGTATGTCCACTTCCTCCCAAGATTGATGGGAGGTTTGGCGTCCTTCTTCTTCCCTCTGTGGTTCTGCAGCCATTTTCTGTAGACCTGTGCAGCGACCGCATCAGCAAATGCCTGGGATATATGGCAAGACCCACTCACCGTCTTTCGGGACTTCAACAGCTTGGCATTCATGCCAGGTGCCTTCAGCCGAGCCTCCATCGTGGCATCCCCCCAGACCACATTTCTTTCTTGACCCGACATCGAGTCCCATTGCTCAAGGTAGGACTCCAGAACAGCCACCTCCCCTTCATTCAAAGGCAGCTGCTTCGGAGCCTCTTCATCTGCCTCCAAGTTGTTCCCTGCCATGGGAAAAGATGTAGGAATACGAGGATGACAGGAGGGAAATATAAGTGTCTGGTGAGAGGTTTAATTTGAGCCAGCTTGTTTGTTTAGCCTTTGGACAATCGGTATCCATGCCACTGTAAATTAAGGGCGACTGGGCCTTGACAAACAAGACCAAGATTGTGATTGTCCAGGCCAATCCCATTATAAATTGTTGTGCATTTGTGCTAGGATCACTTTGGATTGATTTGAAAGATTGAAAGCATATCCAGGGCATCTTAGCAGGGCTGACCATCCTATGATTTGGGCTGGGCCAAGAACTTTGAAATACAATGAGAACATAGAAGCATGTGGACTTTCTTGAACCTTTTAATGATAGAGCATATTAATTCATTGACACCATCTATCAACTTCACAATCACAATATAAAAGCATGTCTACTTCCTTGACCATCCTAATGCCTGAGGTGTAAATCATTATTCAAATGGGTATGGCTCAAGGAATTAAATTGCTGATGAATCATTGCTGTTCAAAGATGCATCAACATAATAACAAACGAGGTGATTTAGCGAGGGTCCTGTTAAGGGAGCATGATGCAATAATGGATCAACTCCCGACCACCATCAGTTCAGACCTCACCATGGGCAAGTCAAAGGTGCAGGAGTGCACCACTCGAGGGACCGTCCACCTGGTGAAATGGAGACCGAAGAAAACAACTCGAGGCTTCAAAGCTTGGTGGGTGCCAGACAAACGCACCAACACAAGCAAGTCAGCTTGGTCGTCCCAGACCAAGTCTCCCACCAAGCAGCCTTCGGATGGGTTGATGTATAGGTTCTCCGACGACTTTGACGGAGGCTATGATGACCAGGGAGACATCAATCCCATGCGAATTCCACAGGGCCTATGGAAGAACAAGAGAAAGAAAAAGACCATGGCAAGTCAAAGTCCATTCACCCTCACCAATGTCTGGCTCACCTGACATGACATACCTAGGGTCTGAACAAGTATCTCCAGCAGTGGAAGGTGATGGCAGAGGATTATCTAGATATGCTGATTGAACGGGAGGGCCCGCCTCCTGACAGGGTGTGCTGTTTGTGCGATGGGGATGGAGTGCAGAAGTGCCACGACTGTCTTGCCGAGCCGATGTTCTGCACCAAGTGCTGCTGGACGCAACACGCTCGGCTGCCTTTTCACCGGATCAGTCAATGGAATGGAGATTTCTTTGAGAGGACCGCACTGACAAAGTTAGGCGTGGAGATTCATCTCGGGCATGGAGGACAATCTTGCCCGCACCACTATTGGGACTGGGAGGACACGGATGATGGGGGACAATCTGCTGCATCCTCCATGGCAGGAACTCTGGGTGCATGTGATGCCGGTGATGCTTTCGGTGAAGGCCCACCTGCATCAGCCTACTATGTATTTTCCCAAGACGTCGACGACACAGGAGCAGGTGATGTATTCTTAGAGGAGGAGTATCCCCCCTATGCAAAAGACTCGCCGGTGGTAGGAAAAACACGGATCACGGTGGTCGATACATCGGGCGTTCACACCATGTGGGTTCGCTTCTGCCAATGCGCTGACGCCCAAACCCCAGACAAGCAGCTGTTTGAAATTGGACTGTTCCCGGCGTTGTTCACCCGCCCAAAAACTGCGTGCACCTTTGCTTTGCTGGATGATTTCATCCTGGACAACCTGGAGTGCGGGACTTCGGCAATGAACTATTACAGTAAATTGAGGCGCATCACGTCTAGCATGTTCCCGCATTTAGTACCAGTATGTATGCATCTGTTCCTCCGGACCCGATGCTAAAGCTCGGTAGGACCAATACCGGGAGTTGATGAGAGTGAGCAGACAATGGCAGCAGCTGAAGCTTCTGAAATGGAATGGATTCGGTCACGATAGGAAGGACCCAAAAGATGAGGAGCTGGCTTTTTTCTGCCCCGCATGTCCTCAGCCCGGCATCAATGTGACCTTACCAACAGAAGATGATGACACAATGCCTGAGTGGCTGTATTCACGTTCATTGGTGATGGATGGTAACTTTAAAGCTGAGCATCTGCACCCAACACACCTGGAAGACGAAGTTTGGCTCACCGACGGGCAAAGCTTCATGGTAGCCAGAGCCAGGTACCAGGCTCATCTCGGGCTCACCAAGGATTCGGCACAGAGGTCCGAATGCAACAACCATAGGGTGGTGAACCAGGCCAATGCATCTCGGCACAAGCTAGAAGCCACAGGAATAGGAGGGTGCACATGCGCCAGATATGGGTGCTTTGTGCCTAATTCAATGGTTGATTTTCAAAAGGGCGAAAGGTAGGAGGTTGACATTCAGGAGCAGACAGATGAACATGGACTACACCCTGTGCAATGCCATGAGTCACAACACGGATGGACTTTGCCAGGCATTGACATTCTATGACGTCAATTGCCAGTACAACAAGCACCTCTGGCAGTGGGTGGACAAGAGCCTTCATCTCAGCCTTCCTTCGGGAATGGACATTATCCCGGGGATAGGACTGTGGCACGTTCATGGCCACCAAGACAAGTGCTATGTTTGGTACGCATCCAATTTCATCCCAGGGGCCGCCAGAATAGATGGGGAGATCATGGAAACACTGTGGGCGCCTCTGAACATCATATCTCCTTCCGCCCGGGGAATGTTGACCCCGCACCGACAGGAATGCCTCAATTATCAAATGAACAACTGCAACTACATGAAGATGATTCAGATGGGTTAGTCATGCCGTACCTAATGCCTGAAACAAATCTCATACCAACAGGGCTGTTCTTGTCCCAGAAATACAAAGAGGCCAAACGAGGGGTCGCCGAAAGCACTGAGGCATTCAACGCATTGAACAATGCAGCAGATCCGGAAATGGTTGAGCGGTGGGAAGCGCAGGAGAGAGCGGCACAAGCCTCTCAGATAGACGATCCATCAGCCCTGGACATCTATGATGTGCAGTTGCAAAAGGGCAAGTCTCATGTGTTCATAGATATCTCGGTCGTGGCACTGATGCTTGACCTTGGCAGCATGAACCCAGAAGGAGGTTGAGGTCGACTTACTGCAGACGTCCATCCGTCACCCGGGAGAAAGACCACAGCTAGGAGCCACCACTTGGCTTGCATCTGGGATCACCATCGAGGAAGCGCAGATCGCTCTGGCGATGGACATCAGGAGGATGGGAAGACACCCTACCGAGAATCAGGTGCTGGAGATAGGCCATCACCGGATCAGGCTGCAACACTCCGTTGACGAGTTTGTTGCAACAGCAGGGAGGTATCTCGGAGATGACTACGATTCTGACCATTGTATTCCCAACATGGATGTCAAGTTCCTGCGAAATGGCAGTGGATCCAGCGATGAAGACACCAATGATGATGGAGCACCGGGAGTCCGTCACCCGACGGCTCTATTCAGACCCAAAATAGTGGTCATCCCTCTCCCGTCCAACTTGGGAATGGAGAGATGCAGGGAATTGGGCGTAGCGGGCCTGATCAGACAAGAGATCACCCTAAGGGAGGGACAGGCAAACAACATGCTGCACGCCATCAGAGTGCACCTGGCCGACAAGGCAGTTCTCTTTAGGACCACAGTCCGGCCGGCCGAGTCGCAAGCCAGGACCACCCGGGCTTGGGCCCAGGTCCACTCGGTGGAACGGGTGATCGACCTCAACAGCATGATCTACAAGAAATGCAGGGCCCAGCTCCAGAATCTCAGGGCAGACCAGCTGTTGCAAAAATATTGGGAGTTGGAGAAAAGCCACCTCAAAGCCACCTCTGCCGTTGCAGATCCCAATGCCCGCAGTTAGAGAAATTCCATGCTGCCATGGTTTTGGTCCCTAGATGTACAAGGGGATTCGGTTAGTGATGACTGGATGAATGAATGTGAGTCATTCTTCCCGGGACTTCATCGTTGGGCCCATGTCGACCCGGAACCCAGTTTACAGGGTGCATTGGCTTCAGACCAAGGCTCTGCGCGATCATTGGGCAGAAGAGTTCATCCTCATGGGACATGAGATGTGTTGGACAATCGATTTCCTCATGCACAGATCCACAACATGGCTCGGTCGAACATACCAGAATGGCGACCCCACTCGGGTGGGCAACAGGTGCTATGCACTCAGACAGGCTCAGATGTACAAACGATTGGCTGAGGATGCTCATGCCCAGTTTGTTGAGGTCAACCCAACATTCAGTCACGACCGGTGATGTCATCATTGGGTGTTCCTGGCAATACATTTACCCTACGATCTTCTTTTGTATGTAGTCCATGGTCTTTGCAAACAATGCGGTTTCATAATGTTTTGTTCCGGCCCGGTTGTGTATCATGTGGACCCGTCACCGCATATGGCCCTAACAATGGTCCTCCCTGCCTATTTATACTGGTGGTTAAATGGCTGTATTTTCATTCCCCCTTGCACCTCCGCTGCCCTGATCAACATGCAATATCCATCGCTGATCTTCCAGCCGAATTCGGTCCCGACCAGTGTCTCCCTTTGGGATGCCGCAAACATATTCAAATATGCGACTTCGCGGTTTACCGCGATCTGGTTGGCCCTGGACCAGAGCCAAGTGTCTCAAACGTCTTCCTTCCGAAGAACCTTCGTCCGGCATCTGGTCTGGGAAGCCAAGGTGAGTCTCCGCTTCCTTACGGTACTTCTCCATTTGGTATTCTTTAGGCTGACCCCCATACTTCGCAGAGATTTGTATTCCCCTATATCAACATATATGCCACTAGCAACACTTCCCCGGCCTTGCCGGAATATCTCAACAAGGTCGTGATGATGCTCACCCACTGGCAGGTGGGAATTGTGGATGACGATGGCCTCTTCCGGTTGTTCCACACCCACCAATTCAACATGGCAGGCGACCTAATGGTCCGCTACCGGATCGTCTCCAACTATGCCTACAGTTGGTGGAATGACCAGTTCGATGTTCATCTGTTTGAGATGCCCATCCATGTCCCAGTGGAAGAAGTCATCCGATTGTATAAACGCCACATGCAACAGCTTGTGAGTCCCTTCCCTTTATCCAACTCATGATATTCGCCTATTATCCCACGCTAACAATTTCATCAGCCGGCCGCATATTTGCTGCTGCCGGAGATGTGCAGGCATGATATCGGTCTGGACCCCCTGTTGACCAATCTCCGGGTCATCAAAGACAATCTTGGAGATCTCGGTGCTCAGCTCGAGCAATGGCTCTCCAGGAAGATGGAAGATGCAAATGTTGCCTTGGAGGCCATGACCGCCCTCGAGGGTCCGGTAGATGACCTCCATGATGCCATCGTGGCATCACAGCAGTTGTTAGATGGGACCCGGTCGATGCAGGAGCCAGGCAAATATCAGTGAGCCTACGATTTCGGTAGAAGATCGTTGTACATAATTTCGGTAGTTGCGTGTGTGAATGCCCAGTTCTTGTCACCATTCATTGCAATGCAATGCTGTAAGACACAGAGAACTGCCTCGGGAGCAGTACTTAGCACGACCATGTGCCATGCTTCTTTCATTACAGATCCACAAGATCTCCCTTGGCCTCGCCACCATGCGCTCGGCCCCTAAACATGCACACTATTACATCCCCTGATTTTACGTCCTTTGGCATCACTGGACCCACAAGGTTCAGTTGACATGTCAATAAAATTGAGTGACATCCATCACCCGCCATCTCGTTCACCCTGCCCATCATGTCCCACATCATATCATCTTATGCCAGCCACATTGCCTTCCTCAGGAATGGCATGAACCTGATGCCTGTGATACCCAAAGACTGGGCCTTGCATGCCACGAACTGCACCAGTGAATGGGTCGAGCAACAATTCCTTGCCCACATAGCCGGTGGATCCTTGGTGGACCCTCCACCCGGGATGGACATCCCCACGTTGCTATTGTGCGGTCAGCTTGCCTGGCTCATGGCTGAGGCATATTGACACCCGAGTAAGTCCATGTGTGTCTTCTCCGGCATCCCCTCACTTATGGATCCCCTGAACTCAGTCAAATTGGACATTGATGTCATCCGCTACAACGAGGCGCTTGCAAAATGAGAATCCGGTATGAAAGATGCCTGAGAAGAGGAGTTGTTGGCAAGGTTCCCTCCACCCGAGAAGATGCTCTTGGACTGCCCTTCGGTAGTAATCGATTCCGGCCACAGGATCATTCTCTGGTACATCCCCAATGCCCTAAGTCCCTGGGTGCAGGCGAGTTCCTCACGCAAAACTATCCTTCCAAAGTAGTTGACCGAGATCCCAATAGAACAACATGTACATGGCCACCCTCACCATAGGTGATCTACTCAAGAAGAGTGTCATCAACAAGGAATCGGCTAATTGGAGGACCCAGGGGTCCAACTTCCGACCTCCTGAGGATCCTGCCTTGACTCCTGGATGCATCAACATAACACCTTGCTGGTTCCAACAAGGATATGAGGTGAGTCCGGCTGTCCAATTGTCGACAGTTATTCACACGGGGCAGTGCTATGGCCCTCCTCCCAACGATCCGGATGACGGGTTCAAACCGGAGGTCTCTGCCTCCTTGAAGGGCGACAGGCGCCTGTCCATGATCATGGATATGCAGAGACCCGCCCTCCTTGCATCTGCCACCTTGCGTGTCATGCACCCTAAGCTTTACTGGGCTTCCGTGAGGGCTCATATCTAACTTGGTCATTGGTTGGAGGAGCAAGGCTTGCATGACATGCATCATTTGCTTAAGCATTGGGCTTCCGTCTACACCAGTGCCACTGTCATGTGCAACCGTCAGTCCCCTGACCACAGAGACCCAAAGTGTCCGCCCGAGGCATTCAACATATTGATTTGCATCGGGAGCTACCCACATGCCATCATGCAGTTGACCAACCTCGGAATCGAGCTGGTATACAACCCGGGCGTCATGGTGAGCTATTCCAGCCGCCTAGTCAGACATGGCATCCGCATTGACGAGGGAGATCGGATGGTATGGGCTTGGTTCCTCCGGGATAGCATGCACAACTATGCCAGAACCCCCCACCCGGATTATGCCACATACAATCCAGTCGACCTCCATGCATACCAGTTGGCCAAGTACAACCAGGCTGATTTTGTTGTGTATGGCAACTGGTAGATCCATTTCCCAGCCTCACCCCACCCCACCCCCATTCTTTACAATATTAAGATGTCTTGTCTTTTCACATCACTCCTTACATACCAACAGTCGTCCTCAATACATACCAGGTGCCCAAGTACAACCAGGCCGATTTTCCTATGTATGGCAACCTGTAGACCCCCTTCCTGGCTTCATACTACCCCACCCCCATTCTTCACAATATAATGATATCCGGTCCTTTCACATCACTCCTTACATACCAACACCAACACCTACCAGAAATATGTCAATTGAATGCATTACTGCACCTTTAATACAATCATTCTTGTGAAGACACTTGACAGGGCCTTACTACATTTCAACCCAGACAACGGAGGACTGACCGTAAGTATTCCACACCACCCTGGTCCCAGTCAGCCTACTTTATACCGCTGTGTGGGCCCGGTCGTCAAATTCCGGCCTTTAATTCTACATCCCCACCCTGGGCCCAGTCATCACATTCTATACCACAATATGGCCTGGTCATCATTGGCACATGCCCAACCCAGGCCTAATCATCAAGATGCACCTGACCATATTGCCCCGACCGTCAATTCGACGCCACTACCCTAGGCCCGGGTGTTGAATTCTATACTATTATATAAGCCCAACCATCCCTTCTACATTACTGCCCTAGGCCCGGTCACCAAATGCTCTCTTCAGATCCATCCTACATCACCCCCTGGGCCCGGTCAGCATATTTTATTCCATTGTATGGGCCCGGCTGTCCATCCTACACAACCACACGGGGCCCGGTCGTCGTATTTTATACCATTGTATGGGCCTGGCTATCCATCCTACATAACCACCCTGGGCCCGATCATCAAATGCTCCACCAACATATGGGCCCGATCATCAATTCTACATCACCACCCTGGGCCCAGCCATCATATTCTATACCACCATATGGGCCCAGTCGTCGATTATCCTATATCACCCCCTGGGCCTGGTCAGCATATTTTATTCCATTGTATGGGCCCGGCTGTCCATCCTACACAACCACCCGGGGCCCGGTCATCGTATTTTATACCATTGTATGGGCCCGGCTATCCATCATACATAACCACCCTGGGCCTGATCGTCAAATGCTCCACCAACATATGGGCCCGATCATCAATTCTACATCACCACCCTGGGCCCGGCCATCATATTCTATACCACCATATGGGCCTGGCCGTCGATTCTATATCACCACACGAGGCCTGGTCGTCAAATTCTGTACCAACATATGGGCCCGACCGTCAATTCTACATCATCCCCTGGGCCCGGTCATCATATTTTACACCATTGTATGGGCCTGACTGTTCATCCTACATCACCACCCTGGGCCCAGCCATCACATTCTATACCACCATATGGGCCCGACCGTCAATTCTATATCACCACATGAAGCCTGGTCATCAAATTCTGCACCGACATATGGGCCAGACTGTCAATTCTATATCACCCCCGGGCCTGGTCGTCGTATTTTACACCATTGTATGGACCTGACTGTCCATCCTACATAACCTGGTTACCCTGGGCCTGATCATGAAATGCTCCACCGACATATGGGCCCAACCGTCGATTCTATATCACCACACAAAGCTCAGTGGTCAAATTCTGCACCAACATATGGGCCTGGCCGTCATATTCTATACCACCATATGGGCCCGACCGTCAATTCTACATCACCACCCTGGGCCGGTTGTCAATATCTAATCCCACTGTATGGGCCCTCTTAGTTGTTACCCATGGGCCGAGCCATAAATATCGAGACCACTAAATACCACGGGCCCACCCATCCCTATCGGCCCCATCTTGCACCTAGGCCCACCTCGTATGGCCGTGTCACTCGGAAGAATCTCAACTTCAGGTGGCCGTGTAACACAGGCCAAAGTTACTGAAGGGGCTCTGTTCAGTACTCGGTCATCGGTGCTCTATACCAAGATCATGCATCATGTGGCCCTATCTGATCCTCGCAATCTCCGCCACCCCGGATCTGATATCCACCTTAAAGCCGAATTGTAGGCATCATCTTATACTCGCCATTGCATTTCCCACCATCAAATACATCCCATCATCATGAATGTGTCCCCAGACTCCGAGATTGAGATATCCTTCTGGATCTCTTGGGCCCTGACCGTCGCCCATGAGGCGAGTGAATATACCGAACAGAAATTCAATGTGGACAAGATGGGAGGGGATCCGGTCATACCTTCTCCTCACCTAGACACCGATCTAGTGATGGCTTGTGATAAATTGGTTGATCGCCTCATCAAAGCATATCACAATCCCAGTGAGTCGGATTACAGATCTGGATCTTCCATTTGATCATTCAGATTCCTCGATCACAGTTCAGATGCAGATCAATATTGCAAGATACAGCAAATTGATATCCCCGAAGGACACTGGCCATAATGAAGAGAGAGAGAAGAAGCTGCTTGACAGGTGTCCTCCTGGCCATGAGGGTACCAAGTTTGTCGACATGCCTGCCACAGTTCTTGATGTCACCGGTGCGATCATCATGTGGTATCTCCCTGGTGCACTCATGGACACCACCCAGGTATTTCAGATTCTTCATCGCCCGATGGATCCTGAATACTGAATATACTACAGGAAGAAATTTGGAAGGCCTCGCAATTGCTGACTCCCACACTTGAAAAAAGTGTAAAAGTCGGCAGCAGTTGGCGGACTCATGAAGAGTGGTTCGGTCAAGGCTCTGGGAATGGTGACATCACTGCCGGATGCATCAATATATCCCCAGCGTGGTTTCAGCAGGGGCATGAGGTTAGATGCCATGACATGCCGATGTTCCTCAGTAGTTAAACTCACCACTCCTGTAGACTGTCTCAGATCCGGAGGTATCCGCTTCCTTGAAGGGTCCACTTTTCGAGGATATCCTCAAAGCTATTGCGAGGCCGGCAGCTATAGCCTCAGCAGCACTCAGGGTCATGCATCCTCGACAGTACTGGGCAGGCATGCGTGCCTTTTCAAGCCTCGGTGAGTCGGCTGAAACCAAGAACCTTCCGAACATGTCAGAGACCCTCAAGCTCTGGGCTTCCGTCTTCAATACCCTCTCTGTCATTTCTAATCGGCAAACCCCATATCATAGAGACCACTTATCATCTCCTGAGTGGTTTGACATTCTCACAACTGTGGGGAATTATTCTAATGCTCGCATGAGCATGCCCAGCCTTCAGCTGGAGTTCATGTATGATCCCGGGGTCATGATAGCATTTTCAGGAAGGATAGTCAGGCATGGAGTCCATGAAGTAGCAGGGGATCGGGTTGCTTGGGCATGGTATATGAGGGATTCAGTCCATATTTATGCAGGTGTTCCTTCATGTGGATGGGCCATGATGGATTCGGTAAAGATTCCATTTGGTGAAACATCGGCCAGGGAGGGTCATTAGTATATTCATAAATTCCATACCTCTGAGAAAGCGATTGAGCCCCGACCGAATGTTGAGCATTGAATACTTTCGATCAGGTTGTAAGCATTGAGTGTCGAGCACCGAGCACCGAGCATCACACGCCGAGTCAGTCCCAGGTCCCGACCACCCTTAACCAACCACTCAGGCCTGAGTACCGAGCACCGAGTAACACATTCCAACGTCCAGTATCACTGAGTTAATATCTGTCTTCCTAGGTCATCGGTCTATAAAATCGATAGTTCTATCGGCCCATCCATCTATTTAATGTACAATCTTATCAGCCCATCCGTCTATACAATCTACAGGTTGATCGGCCCATCCGTCTATTCAATTTACAGTCCCATCAGCCCATCCATCTATACAATCTACAGGTTGATCGGCCCATCTGTTTATATAATCAACAGTTTCATCGGCCCATCTGTCTATTTAATGTACAATCCCATCGGCCCATCTGTCTATTTAATGTACAATCCCATCGGCCCATCTGTCTATACAATCTACAGGTCGATCAGCCCATCCGTTTCATCAGCCCATCCATTTATATAATCAACAGTTTCATCGGCCCATCCATCTATACAATCTACAGGTCGATCGGCCCATCCGTTTATATAATCAACAGTTTCATCGGCCCACTAGTCTACATCATTCAAATTGAGCGTTCTATCAGCCCATCCATCTATGTAATGTACAGTCCCATTGGCCCATCCGTTTATAAAATCAACAGTTCCATCGGCTCATCTGTCTATATGATGTACAGTCCCATCGGCCCATCCGCCTATGCAATCAACAGTTCCATCTGCCCACTAGTCTACATCATTCAAATATCTCAGCCCTCCCATCTCTATCAAATCCCTTACACATAGTGGCAACATTGGCCCATCCATTACCATCGAGTATTATATACACATCAGCCCTCTCATCAACATCAAGGATATTATGACATCGGCCCATGGTCCACTGGCCCGTTTAATATGGGATATTATGTCCCTTGGCTGGCCCATCTAACACGGAGTTGTACACTGAATGGGCTCAACAGCGACGTGATTCATTGACAGATAATACATAATTGAATCTGATGTATTATCATTACTAATAATAGGTACATAATGATGTCGAAACTCAGTATCAATAATATGACTCACTTTCAATGTCCCAACTTCGGTGTGAATATTCCTACTGGGTACCAATAATAGAACTCAGGTGCGAAGGTCTCGACTCAGTATCAATACGGTTGGAACCGAGTCTCAGAGGTATGTGATTGCAACCGACTTAGGAAATTTCCGACATATGTTACCTTCATGATGTATGTACAATGTTTACATGGAGGTTCACTTATTTATGTTGAGTTTGTAGGTTCCATATCGACCATACCTAAAAATGCAATTCTCTGCAGCATATGACACTTTTCTAGAAATCATTCATTGTGTGAACAAGCGCCTGCAGTGGGCACTCAAATGGGATACCGTCGACTGGCATCTGCTGAGCTCATGCCCTGCATGCTTTTATAAGCTCAACAATGAGCCTGCACTCAATTTCGAATAACTGGTATCCATTGACGGGACTCAACCATTTATAGGACAACTGCTTGATCTGATTCTTGCAATGCTCATTCAGATTATTGGATTCATGCTAGTGCTGTTGACAAGTTTAAGGATGAAGTAAAATCCCAACAAGTACAGTGGCTCAAAAAACTGTCTATGTCATTTACCTGATCCGACCGCTCCGATATCAATATCTGCTCCGCTTTCTGACCCCCTCCGCTCCATCCATCCTCCACTCCATCCAATCACAAGTCCGCATTCCGCCCTACACTTCTGCTCAACCGCTCAACCGGTCCCCTTCCATAACCTCTCCATTCAACTGGACCTCTTTCCCCTTTTAGATATATACTTTCCCCTTTGGTACATAGACCCTTACTTCCGGATCACCGGTAATTCCTATTACCGCTGAATCACTGATCCGATGCGTACATATTGATATCTGCTCTGACTTATGTCTTCGCCTGTGTAAAGTACTTACAAACTATATCCTTGGTACATAGCTTTACTACATAGTTATCCTGATCACTGCCTCATACATAGAAGTATATAACATATCATGTACTTAGATATTTTCCTCAGTCTTAATATTACTTGTCTTCTCGCAGTTACTTCTTGTGAGAATTTTCAGTAGGACCTTGCCTCCTCTGGACACAAGTCTCAACTTGTTGTCACCTCTGACCCTCTGACCCTCCGCTCCGACTTAGAGCTGTGCTCTAAGTCTTTCCCTTATTACTCCGCCCCTATCAATATTCCCCTCTGTCCCTTTCCCCGTCCTCCACATTATCCTCCACCTTCTCCGCCCCTATCAACATTCCCCCTGCTCCTAACCACCCTCCGCACCACTCCCCGCCTTCTCCACTCCACTCCTAGTCGGCCCGCCGCTAGTAGCTCTTACTTCCTGACCCTCAAAGCAGACCTAAGCAGTCCACTCGTCCTATTGTTGGACAATGTCGGATCCGCTCCAAATTCAGGGCACATACTCGGCTAAGGGCGCAGCGCAAGAGCTGAAGCCAAGCCCTGACCCCTCTGCTTCCTGAGTTGGCACAGTACCTAACAGTCTACATGTTTTCACATTGTTCACTATCTATGATATTGTATGAGAATATACAAACACTTCAAGGACATGCTGGTACCATGTGGTAGTACTACTTCAGGGCTTTCAATTGAGCACTATGGTGTGGGAATTGGTTGAGATATGGTGAAGATATGAGGCTTACAAAATGATGACTCATGCGGACAGTTTTTTGACTCAAGTATTTTATAGTGATAATCAGGTATTCTAGTACTTTGTGTGACTTCCCTTGGCTTTAATTACTGCCTCTATCCTTCTAGGCATACTCTCAATTAATTTCTGGCAATATTCTGCTGTAGTCCTTCCCCATTCCACTGCTACTCTCTCCCATAGCTCCCATACTCCTTTAGGGGGGTTTCAGAGGCTTGAAGCTTCTTCTTGAGTGTTCCCCAGAGATGTTCAATGACATTGACATCAGGGGACTGTGCTGGTCCATCAAGAACATTAATATTATGTTCTTCAAACCATTGTCTGGCTCTCCAAGATGTGCGCTTGGGATCATTATCCTGTTGGAAAATGATGTCTTCTTCATCAATCCCTGATTCAGCTATGCTAGGCAGCAAGTGGTCATTTAGAATGTCCACATACTGCTCAGCATCCATCCTCCCCTCAACTTCAGCAAGCATACCCACACCATTCCATATCATACAGCCCTGTGAGCCCCTTCAGTGACAAACTCCGTATTATACAAGGCAACTGATGTGCATAATATCCCATATAACACAGGCCAGCGGACCATGGGCCAATGATGAAGATATCCTCGATGTTAATGGATGGGCCGGGAGGGATATTATTACCGATGAATACGGGTGGGCCCATCTAGGTAATATGTAGAGTAGGATGGACATGTATATTATAGACAGGTGGGCTGAAGAGAGATGTATATTATATAGATGGATGGGCCGATGTAGTGACATTATTATCTAGACAGGTGGGCTGAAGGAGCAGTTCATTATATATCATATAGATGGGTGGGCTGATGTAGTGGTATTATTATTTAAATGGGTGGGCCGGAGGAGCAGTTTATTATATATCATATAGACGGGTGGGCCGAGGTAGTAGTATGTTGTGTAGACGGGTGGGCTGACATAGGGTATATTACATAGACAGGTGGGCCGATGTAGGGGGTATATTATGTAGACAGGTGGGTCGAGGTAGTAATATATTGTGTAGACGGATGGGCCGACTTAGGGGGTATATCATGTAGATGGGTGGGCCGAAGTAATTGTTATCATATAAACGGGTGGGCCGAGAGAGTGATTTATTAGATATTATATAGATGGGTGGTATCATATACCTGATCCGACCGCTCTGATATCAATATCTGCCCTGCTTTCCGACAATCTCTGCTCCATCTATTCCTCCGCTCCATCCAATCATCATCCACATCTGCCCCTACGCTTCTGCTCGACCGCCCAACCAGTCCCCTTCCATAATGCCTTCATTCAACTGGATCCGCTTTCCCCTTTTAGATATATACTTCCCCCTTTGGTACATAGACCCTTACTTCCAGATCACCAGTAATTCCTATTACCGCTCAATCACTGATCCGATGCGTACATATTGATATCTGCTCTGACTTATGTCTTCGCCTGTGTAAAGTACTTACAAACTATATCCTTGGTACATAGCTTTACTACATAGTTATCCTGATCACTGCCTCATACATAGAAGTATATAACATATCATGTACTTAGATATTTTCCTCAGTCTTAATATTACTTGTCTTCTCGCAGTCACTGTCACGAATTCCTAATACGAACCATTTTTCATTTCTTGGTTTTCCTTCGGCTATTTCCAGTACCCAAACCGGTCACGTGACTCCTCACCCTGTCACACCTTCACCTCTTCACATATCACCCATGGTTTCTCCGATTGGCTCCCCTACTCTACAGGCTAGAACAATCTTGCTTCCCAAAGAAGAACTGGTCGGAACTTGGGTTTCTATTTAATTGCTGTCTTACTCATTCGCTTATATATCATGATGTCATACTTAGTCATCCGCAGTATCGTACGGCTCTTTTCTCATTGGCTGATTTCTTTCAGACTCCTATTCAATGTTATGTATATAAGTAGATTAGTTAGCATAAGTACTCCTTAGACTTAACCTCTTCGTTTCTACACTTGTGTAGGGCTTAGACGTTCACGCTCAAATCCTATCAGTTGATCATCATCATCCCTGACCGAGTCCTAGTGGTTGTGATCTGACCTTTACCATTCGGTGAACGTTAGTCGTAACATTAGGTTAAGTCTATCTTACCACTCTGACTCGAACTTTATCCTGGACATCGCTGTTCACGATAAACTTCACCGTGCTATTCTGCTTGAAAATTATCTTGCAGATTACATTTTATTCAATCATCATTCCCCGACGTGTTTTTGTATCTCAATCTCTTTATGTTAGTTTTTAGTAGAAGTGAACCAGGCCCTCATCTTACTACAAGCCACCAGTTCATAAGGATCAGTGACACTTAGGTCCTGTTTCCGCACGTCTGCAGTTAGGCCCAAAACCCTGCCAACTGTATGCTACAATATCTGCTTTCTATGTAACAGAACGGCACTCGCGACAGTCCTCTCACTGTCTAAATACTTCACGATAGGAACCTAGGGTGCTAAAAGTAGACCCGAAGTTCACCACATCTTTCGCGAACTCCTCTCGAGTTCTACATAGGTTGACGAACCGCTACACGTGCTGCATTCGCACCTTTGTCATCATTGCCCCGCCATACAGATCCCGCCTAGTCGCGGCTAGAGCCCTCGCACTCCACACTGTTTCCTGTTTGGATTCCAATTGCTCCTTCTTCAATGTCCGAGAATCTAGGAGAAGATGGGATGCACATTTCCAAGGATACGGAAGTAGCAATGGCTCCGGCAGTCATGCCACCAGCAAATGCTCCAGACAGAGCGACCATCCAATCCCCAGCACCGTTGTCATGGTGCAGCCCATTTGTCCCATCAGGATCTGCAGAACCATCCACCACCCCAATTGGAGGCCCTTCTGTACTGCCAGGCATCTCAGGGCCCGGGGCGACTACCATCACCCACAAGAGCATTTCGGACGCAATCCAAGTCGTTGTCAAACAAGAAAGAAAGTACACCAGGCAGTTCATAGACAGTCTACAGAAGGAGATCAACGAGCTGCAAGCAGACCTGGTACACACAGACGACGAGATCAACTACATGAAGATCAGAGTGAGGGATCTAGAGAACTCCCTGATGGTCGCAGAGTCCAAGATCACGGTTTTGGAAACCTCGCCTACAATGAAGATTCCAGGCTCTACATCTGGGACTTCAGGCTCTGATCTCAAAATGGCGAAACCGATGGACTTCACGGGTGAGAAGAACTCCATTGATGTCGACACCTTCCTCACCCAGCTCGCCATCTACTTTACTGGTTATCCTGGAGCGACAGAGCAGCAGAAATGCACCTGCCTCGTTTCTTTTTGCCGGGGTGCCGCAGCCAAATGGGCGGAAAGTGTTACCCCCATGGCTCTCAGCGGCCATACCGGATCCTATAACAGCATCATCAAGGACATGAAGGTCATGTGGACCATCGTCAACAAAGAGGAGAAGGCAGCAAGAGAGTTGGAAGCTCTCCGACAAGGCAATCGTACAGTCTGGGAGTATATTTCCATCTTCCGCCAGAAGCTCGCCTTCTGTCAATTCTCTGACTACAAGTTGATGTGCAAACTCCACCATGGATTGGACCAACGAGTTAAAAACTACTTGGCCAATATCCATCCTAACAGGAAAGACACCCTGGAGGGATTGATTAGGGAGGCGCTTCTAGTCGGACAGAACCTCGAGGAGCTTGACGACGAGAGGAAGATGAACTTCGCACCACAACGACCTTGGCAAGGCTCCGCTGTTCCACCCGCACCAGCTGGAGCACCCAAGACCACGTCACAGGGAGGAAACGCCATGGACGT